TAAGTTTTAAGAGACTCTTTATTAAGCTAATAGAGTTGCTAGATTTAGCAAATAAATAAATAAATCAAGAAATCCTATATACATCTCATCCCATATATATATATTTACATATTATATTTGAATTTCAGATAAACAGAATAAATTTTGGTGTAATTATGCCCTAGGCATTATTTGGGACATACTTACATTAAAAGATCATTTGTCATTCATCTGAAATTCAAATTTAACTGAATGTCTTCTATTTAATCTGGCAGCCCCACAAGCTAATAAAGTAAGCATCTTTTCAGAGTAACTTTGAACCAGCTGATTACCAAATATTACTTAGATGTGGTAAAATTATGTCTTCATTGGGATTCAAGAATTTTCCTTGTAATATTGAAATTCAAATAGAACCAGCAAATTAAAAAAAAGAACCAGCAAGTTAAATTTCAGTTCCTTCCTTCAAGAATACAACTCAAAAGAGAGAAACTTATATTACTGTCTTCTAACCACATTTCCAGCCCAAATAAGTGGTTTTATGATAAGCTTTAAATTATTTAGTTCATTAAAGATTATTGGTAATTCTTGTGTACGAGTTCAAGTTATTTAGAGTAAACTCATCCACGCTCCTGATCATTTGTCTGACTAGAAGAGTCATTTTGCATCTGAACTTGAAATGCATCATTCCTCTCTGAATGTGCATTGGATATTGTAATCTCATAGTACATTTTTTGTTTGGTTTACTTGAGGCATTTAATTTGAATGTAAAAAACTGTACAATTGGGGTGTCACTTGTAAAAGGACCTTTTATACTATGAAGTGAAGACACTAAGCCAAATGTTTGAAGAGCACTCTTTGGTGCCTTGTGTATTAATGTCCCATGTCTTCATTTAAAAAAGCGAATTGTTGTTAACTGCCTTTGCCTCTCACATCATCCTGGGGGGCTCATTCAGGGTTTCCCAACCTGGCTGTGTATGAGAAAACATGGAGGGATTTTTAAAATACTCATACCCTATTTTGCTCCTGAATGTCTGACTGTGTGGAGACTTGGAAAATAGTATATTTAAAAGCTCACCCAGGTTTTTCTAATGTGCAGTCCGGGCTAAGAACCACAGAGCTAACTGGACCGTACTTTGTGAGGACAATGATCAGGCTCCCTCTTTTCTCTACTTATAGTCCCTTTATAAATATTTACTGAGTGAGTGAATAAACAATTCACCATGGAAGCGAATAGAAGCCTGATTTTATATACTGATTTCTGCTTTAATTTGCTTTGAATAATGTACCTTTGGTCATATATACACGTTAGGAACATCAGTCTTAAACGTAAAAAAAGGGCAATGAATTTGTGACCCAGGTGGATTTGCCAGTACATGAAGACAAATCAATGCAAGAGCAGTGCTAACAGAAGCAGCCATGTCTCTAGTGAAGTCACATTCTGTGCTTGGTTTTATAAATGCCCCCTTGTGCATCTGGATTTTCCTGGAGTGTTCCAATTCCTTGTCATTCTTATTTTTTCAATAAACTTAAATTTGTTCAATTTGTTACAAATTTATTAAATTTACTCATTAAAATTTAATAAATTTATTGAAGATTTAATTTAAATTTTATTTAATTTAAAATTCATTACAATTCACTTAAATACACTTGTTTCTTGAAAATAGATTCATGAATCCTAAAAAAAAAAAAGTTAAGCTCTCTGCCAATTTGGTGTTTAGAAAATATTGCTGTGCCTATAATAATTAGAATAGGTGAGTTAACCAGTTTAAATCTGGGGGAAGGAAATAACAGCTAGTTTTCATATTTTGCATGTCCAAAAGTAAGAATCCCTGAACCCTTACATGCCATCTAATTTGTCCATATACTTGTCTTGGCTGTATAAATCCCTTTGCTGGGATTCATGAATCTATTTTCAAGAAACAAGTGTATTTAAGTGAATTGTAATGAATTTTAAGTTAAATAACTTTTAAATTAAATTTTCAATAAATTTATTAAATTTTAATGAGTAAATTTAATAAACTTATAACAAATTGAACAAATTTAAGTTTATTACTTTGCTGTAGAAGGTGATATTTTCAGCTCTAATTAACTAGTTGCCTAGAGCTAATTTTCCCTTGAAAACTTTCTGGGCAATAAATAGAAAGTAGGAATATTAATTTCTTTCTGGCTTGAGTTGGCCACCTTTTGGCTGGCACGGAGTGATATCACCTCTCTGGTCCTCCGTGAGTGATGGCTAGGCCCACCTGTCACTGGTCCTTTCATCCTTGCCCTTTACTTCCTTTGCCCTCACTTTGGCCCCACTAAGCTTTTGCTCTGAGACCTAAGCCGTGCTCATAGCATTACCGGTAAACCAGAGAAGCTAAAGAAGGTTCTGATGGTGCCTGCTTGCATAATTCTTCTCACTGTCCCCTTGTATGGAATTGCAAAACATTTTGAGCACCTCAGAAGGAAGGCAGTATGTAAACATAAGGTACTTTTTATTTGTTATCTGTGCTTATTAGTAGTAATACAAAATGGGGAGCATCAGAGGAATAGTTTGGTTATTTCTTCAGATTTGAGACCTCTGTTTCAGGCCAGTGCCTTTCCATATGATCAAATATCATATCAATGTTTTCTGTCAAATGTAACTTTAAATTTTACAGTTTTGCACATTTGGTATTTAAGGGGATTGGATAGTTTTTCTTTCTTTCTTTCTTTCTTTCTTTTTTCTTTCTTTTTTTAGCTTTCTTCTTAGAACTAGAATTGCTGCAAAATCCAGTGATACAGTATCTAGAAACAGAACTCTTTTTGGACAAAATTCTTTTGCTGTGTAAATAGGGCAATCTTTGATCCACACGCAGAAGAAATAACACCTTTTCTTATCCAAAGGATGATTGTATTCTGTATTGCTGGCTGTATTAAAGAGAAAAAATGATTCATTCTGAAACTAAAGACTGAGTCTGAGTGGTCCCCATATATTCAGCTTTTCTGTGAATGAACATGTGATAATCCCTCACTCTGTGAGCCAGGCCATTGCCCCTCTCTACCTCCTGCACTGTGGTTCTGCACAGGGCTCACACTTGCCATTAAAGACGGAGGAAACTTTCTGGATAGTCTGCAAAAGTTTCAGTTGCGGAAACATTTTTATCTTTATTTTTTTTTTTGATTTTATTTATTCATTTGAGAGAGAGACAGAGACAGAGAGAGAGCACGAGCAGGGAGAAGCAGAGGGAGAAGCATGTGGACTCCCTGCTGAGCAGGCAGCCTGAGGACTCAAGGGCTCAGGGCTCCATCTCAGGACCTGGAGATCATGAGCCAAGACGAAGGCAGACGCTTAACCATCTGAGCCAGCCAGGCACCCCTGCAGAAACGTTTTTAGATTGATATATGAAGTAGGATTCTCAGTTTTATGACTTCCGGATTTAATCATTTTGAGAGGGAAAAAATGCACTTCTAAACCTAACTAAATACATATTTCTAAAATGCCCTTGACATTTGAAAATTTTCCACCAAAAATGGACACCTAAGTGAATTGGTATAGGTATTTATGTCCTAGTTTTAGACTTAAACCATAGCCTCTTTTATAAAGAATCTAAAGATATGTTTAAACGGGAAATCATGGCCATTTGGATGAAGAAATTATAGTAAATATAATTTTATAGGACTATTTGAGAGCTGCATCCTTTAAAAAAATCCTTCTGTGATCAAGCTTAGAAGCCAGTTTTATTGCTATCTGCACTTAGAGTGAATGAAGCAAGGAGAGTAAGGTCGTGGTCACTGTGCTTACTGAAGGTCAAATCGTGGTGGTGCTTCATGAAGCGCTTCTTTTTTTTTTTTTTAAGATTTTATTTATCCATTTGAGAGAGTAAGAGAGAGAATGAGCAGGGAAAGTGGCAGAGAGGGAGAAGCAGACTCCCTGTTGAGCAGGGAGCCCAACCCCAGGACCCTGCGATCATGACCTGAACCGAAGGCAGACGCTTAACCTACTGAGCCACCCAGGCGCCCCTCATGAAGAGCTTGTGTGTAGGCTGCTGACAGAGTAACACCAGGGGAGAATCAGGTCTAAAATTTACTTCAAGGCTTCAGAGCATCATAAAGGAAACACAGGTTGTGCAGACAAGCACTAAACAGGTTGAAGTATTGTTTCTTGATTTAAAAGGTGACACTGTTACAGGATTTGCCTGATAGACCCCGGAGAATGTCCAAGGTCCCTGGAGTGTGTGACTGGGGAAGGAGTCAGTGTTATCTCCTCCTTTCTCTTCTATTTTCTGACACCTGGGTGTTCTCCTCTCCTTTTTTCCACAGTCCATGTTTCAAGTATTTTTCATGTCAGTCAATGTAGAGAAGTCTTCATCTCCACAGTAAATGTCACGTGTCGGTGTATCCAAACGGTGTGATATGCCTCCCCTCGCTGCTTTGTCAACCTTGCCTTCTTCCCTGCTCTCTCAGCCTTGGAATCAGATTTTCTAATTGCTTAAGCTTTGAAGTTTGCCAAATAGCTAGACCTATTTCAGGTGACCGGGGTGTCGACTAGTGTACCTGGCATGCTTCTGGTCTGAGAACAAAATTACAATAATTTCCAAAGCTTGCTGAACAAATGCCTTGAGCAAATTGGACCACAACCTTACTTGAGGTAAATGTCTGCTTTCCTTTGCCTGCTTCTCTGCCCAGGGACTCTTTGCAAGGCTATCTTATAAATTTGGTTGGCATTTCTTTTGTCCTTTGTTCTCCATGGACCAGCTTCTTCTGCTTTAAACATGGTGGCAGGAAGGGGGGAAGGAAGAAAGGATGGGGGTCATTGCCAGTACCTGGTGACGTGGACCGTGTTTTGAAAATGCAGAAATAGGGTCCCCTTGTCTTTTCTTCCACTTACACCCCCTTATCTTAGTCACTAACTAGGTATGTTTCTACATGCATAGGATATCTAGTTTGTGTGTGTGTGTGTGTGTGTGTTGATGTTATCCTTGGGAAATGTTCACTAACGCCTGCTTTGGGTGTGAAGGTAATTTCTATTCTTCTATTTTCTGATTTCTGAACTTCAGGAGAAGGTAAAGCTTGATGCTGAGAGGGAAAAACTAGAGAGGCTTCAGGAGCTTTACTCCGAGCAGAAGACCCAGCTGGACAATTGTCCTGAGTCCATGAGGGAGCAATTACAGCAACAACTGAAGAGGGTCAGTAGCAAACAGGAATGTGCCAGTCGTCTTTTGTTTTTCGGTGTTTTTTCAATGAAGTTCCACTTACCTATGACTTACTACTTCACACAGCATAAATTTGCATAAGTTCTGGTCTTTAGATACTTTTTAAATAGAAATATGCATGCTGACAGTATATATTATTTCATGCTAATAAGTTAAACAATTCCTTGTTAGAATCCTTCACTCATTTATAATGCAAAAAAACCAATTCTGGAGTCATTCTTTGTAACAAAAGAGAGTCATTCTTTGTGACATATAACCGACACCAAGATTGTAGCATTTAAATCAACTGACATCTTTCCCTGCATTCTCTGCTGCATCGTGAGTACTGTTTGCCCTTGGACCCTTGGATGTTTTTTGGTTTTTTTCTCTCAGCCTGATTTTATACTTGGCCCCCCAAATTATCCTATTCTCTGATTTGCTTCCCATCACCACCCACTGTGTTTCTTTTTCTTTCTGCCTCTTAGTGACACTGAACTTGTTAGCACAGCCACAGTGAACACCAAGACCCAAGATGCAGGGCAATGCCCTCTGCATCTTCTCAGACGAGCTTCATCATTTTTTAAAGCTTAACACAGCGTGGACTTTGTGGTGGGTTTTATTGGGTTATCCTCCAATTGTTGAAGTTGGCTGTGCTTAACATGGCCACGTGGGTCATCTGCTGAAATGAGGCTTCGAGGTGGAGAGTTTCACAAACACTGGCAAGACCACTTAATATTTCAGAGCCTCTTGACGACTAGGTCGTTTGCTCTGAACAGCAACCCAAATAACTGTGACCCTGGGGAACAGTCTTGGATCTCTAGAAGAGTCATGTCATAGTAACTTATGCTAAGTGACTAACAACTCATGATTCCATGTGACTAGAAAAGAAAGGCAAGTTTCATTCATGTTATTCTGTCAGGATCTTCTTGGGAGTGGGCAAGTCGAAACATCAGCTAAGGTAGCCCCACCCTTGGAAATGTTTAGGATGGCCTTTAATACAAAAACATTTGATACCTTAGAGTAGCATTAGGTTATGAAAAATTACATTTAAAATTTTTCAGTGTATTACAGAGGTTGAAAGCATCTTAATAAATAGTACCAAAGGCAGACAGGTTAACCTGCAGCATAACGATTTTAATATTTTAACAAATAGTAACTTTCTTACTATGTTGGATCAAAAAAGTCTCAACAATGTTTCTTCCTCTTTACTCCTTTTATTGTATACAGCTGAATTTGCTGTAAGAAGAGAAAACTTCCTGTCCCTCAGTGTCATAATTCTCTAGAAATCTTGTGATGAAAATAATTGGGAAAACATTAGTATTTGTAAAATTATTTTTGCTTGTAATTTGTGTTTATGCCAGTTCACTGAAGAGATTGGGAGATTGCCTTTTATTATTTGTTCACTGGTTTTCAACTCTCCTCATTACTAATGATTTTACACAGTGGTCGTGTTATTTTATCTAGAGTCAGCAGCAACTTATATATTTTGTTCTTCTCTGCCTCTAGTTATCCAGTTATTGCTTGGACTCTTTATAAACACTGCTGCAAATAAAAATTGGTAAATTCTATTAATTACTGAGACTCAGATTGATATAAATAATGGCTGTTTGCTTAATCTAGCCTCTATAGGATAACTCTAAATGTATGTATGCTCTAAGAATGTCCAAAGGAGGACAGGAAGTGATGCAGACAACCTCTTTCACTATTTCACAGCAAAGACCCTTTTTCTCTTCCTCTCCAAGCAGAGTGTAAAATTCTTATCATAAATCCCTTTCATTGGGAGAGATAACTGGCTTGTAGTAGCTTCTATTCACCTGTATTAAGAGGTCCATTAATTTTATAGGGATGATGTCCAGAGTACCTCTCCACCAATCCCATGGCTTAATCAGTAAAAAGTCCACTTATTTCATGAGAAGTCCGTTCATACTAGGAACTTCCTGTGTTACCACAGCTCATTTCCCTTAAGACTTCAAACCCTTCTGAATACCACTACCTTACAAAGCTTTCCCAAAGGCATTTAAACTTGATGCAGTAAAGGTGATTTTATTACCACAAACTTCACTAGGTGGCAGGTCATACAAAAGAAAAAATAAATGAACAGGAAGAACATCATTTTCTTAAACTGTGTTATCCCAAGTACTTAAGCTGAAGTTATGGAATGATTTTTTGCATACAACACTATGGCTTTATGACCGGTCTTCTTCTAATTCCGTGCTTTAGCGTCAGAATACAGCTTTCATCTGAGTAGTTGTATGTAGTTGAGGTGGGCTCATCAGTTGAATTGTTCCTTAGGATGCAAGCATTTTGGAAAAGAAAGCAGAAGTTAAATGAGTCTTTTGTTTGCCAGGAGAAGTTCCACTAGTAAATGGAGGAGACACCTGGCTAGGACAGTTTTCTTGTGCTTTTGATAATTTACTCACTGAATGGTTGAATTCAGTCTCTTGATTTAATTAATATATATATTATTATTAATTAATACACACACACACAAATTCAGTGATATCAACAATTAGAAGACATTTTTCTCACTAGTTCTACCATTGGTTCATCCTTTAATCTTGGATAAGTCCTTCAACTTCTGTGGGTCTCAGTGTCCTCATATATGAAATGAGAAGGTTGCACGAATGATTTCCATTGTCTTTTTCCAAATTCCAAATTCCAAAACAGTTAAAGTGTTTGACTAAGGGCATAAGATGGAGAAATGTGAACAAACCCTGAGCCCCACTTAAATTTGTTTTCAAAGTTGGCCTTGAGCTGCCATGAGGTTATTACTGTAATCTCTCCTGCTATACCACATCTGTTCTCCTCTTCTGTCCCTCTGCTGAGCAAAAAAACCCACGAAGGACTGCACGTAAACTTCTGCCATATAAATTCTCAAAACAGTTTTTGGGAAAAAAGAAGGAATTGCATTGAATTTTCTTGAGCACAGCTCTTTTATGTCCTTTGGCGCCTGGCCTTTGAGCTTGCCAACCAGTAGAGATTTGTAATGTTCTTTTAGCAAGTGAAGCTTAGTTAAAATTTTCAGCCAACTAGTCATGCCCTGGACTTTGAGCTTCCTGTATGTATTACTGTGTGCTCAGTTAAACGACTCCTGCCCCCAAATTCCAGGCCCTGAATTCTTATTCTTATCTAAAATCTTAGCAAAGCTTTTTTCCCCTCCCCAGTGGTTTTTCTTTTACAGTGTAAGTTTATATACACACATTCTAATTGTTTGGACGACTTGATCAGATGATTATACCAACAGAATCTGAGTGCTAAGCTTAGCTTTAATTTTCAACTTTCCTACCGAATGTGCTATTATTTTCATCCAACAGTTTAAATATTTACTACAAACAAAGTAGTGGCTCTGTGACCTTCACGCGGTTAAGATAACACATGTTGCCTATTAACCAGATGTGGAGTGAGCGATTGACTAGCATATTGTGTATTGTGTATTGTGAGACATATACCCACTTGGAGTAAATATTATTTATAAACTAAAAAAAAAGGTTTTGAAACTATTTCTCTCAATAATCTTTAGCCACAAACCAAGCTTAATTGAAAGACCTTAAAAACTTGACTATGAATGACCCCGTGAGTAAATATATCCACTGATGTATTGTTTCAAGACGGCAAGTATTTTGTTTCAAGACATAACACTTGGGTTATCTTTTAATCACTTCAGTAGTCAGTAGATTTGGGCCAAATTCATTCATTCCTTTAGAAGTTATAAGCATAAAATGTCTGATAAACTTGAAATGTCCACCAATAACTTGACACCAAGACGACTTTCTGTTTGGCCAGTTAAACTGTAAAAAAAAAAAAAAGGTGCTAAGAAATGCTGAATATGTTTTTCAAATTGTTTTTCTTGCCCTTAAGCTTTAAGAATCCACTGTGTTGACATAATAATCTTGTTGCCATAGTGCTGCTTGTAATTACATGGTAGCTAATCATCCTTCTATGAATCATCCCCAGGATAAAATTCATTCCAGAAGACAGAAATGTATTATTCCATTTGATTAAAAGGCCTAATTTATAACTCACATAAAAACCAAAAGAGGGGGTGGTATGTTTAAAAACTGATATAAATCTAATTTATCATATTCATTTATCCAACTCTTTCTGATGTTTTGAATGGAAAAAAAAATGACCTGGCTATTTTGCCTATGTAGAGTTATAAACCATATAGCCCAGCTGCTGTCTCGTTTTGGCCATAGATTATTTACAAATTATATATTTTTTAAAATCTTCTATACCTACCGCATTTATGGTTTTGTCAAAGGCTCCAGAATTAAGGAAGTGTTTGTTTTTTTTTAAATGTAGCTTGAAGAATCATTTATACAACATGCACCAGTCTCTGCACAGATAGAGATTCACTTCTGTCTTCAGACATTTCATAGGTTAGGAAATGCCTGTTCTAGACCATCTGATTTTTATGATTTCTGATCTTTCTTAAATGTCCTCAAGATTATTCCCAGAGTGGTAGTACTTAACCATTAGGGACCCTCTTTGTGCCTGATGAATGCTGTGCTTCCAGTAAAAATCTTTGTAAACAATGTTAAGGGAGTCACAGAAGCCCAGTGTAAGAATACCAACTGCCAAATGTTTTCAATGACTTCTCCTTTCAATAAAATTATTGGAGCATGCATGCCTGTATATATCATATAGATCTAATCTGTATGTGTGCCAAATTTTGAGTCTTGTTTTATAGTCAGTAACTTCGGAATCTTGAATTTGATCTTGATACTAAAATCTCATTTCATTAGAAAATTTTGGAAAATGGGAGTTTTCTCAAGAGACCATGTCACACCTTGGTCAGCAGATAATGTTTAGTTATTTACTAATGAATTCTTTTTATACTTTAGGATCCATTTTAAAACACCTAGTAGATTTAAAGCAAGAATTCCTACATCCACAGAACAGTCTCAAACTAGGGCTTCTCTCCCACCCCCACCCACCCCCGACCCCAGTCCTTTCAATTCCATTCTAATGGTCACTGCTCTGGGATTTAACTCCAAAAGTCAGGATTATCATGTTCCAACCCTGGTCAGCTTAGTAATTAGAAAGATATCTTGGACTGTTTGCTTTTAATATTTTTTTCCTTCATGTTAAGAATGCTACAGCCATTCTGGTATGTCTTGTTTTCGTTCCCCTTTCTCCAAAGGATGCCGACCTGTTGGACGTGGAGAGCAAACACTTTGAAGACCTGGAATTCCAGCAACTTGAGCGTGAGAGCCGTCTGGATGAGGAGAAGGAGAACCTGACCCAACAGCTCCTGCGTGAAGTAGCCGAATATCAACGGAACATTGTGACTCGAAAGGTACTTTTGCCAGGTGTCATTCAGTGTAAAAAATCCACATTCACCCCTCACTCCATGACAGGAATAATCATTAATGTAGCCCTCTCTCTACCTGTCTTTATATCCGAATATCTGTGTGTTTCACCACATGTCACATTTGACAGATTATGGAGCCTGCCATCTACATACCAAATGGTGCTTGCTCCAAGCTGGATATCCCGAGATGTGTTACAGTTACCGTTACTTACTGCTGTAGATGCCGTTGATTTATAATATCTGATTTTTTTCATTTGTGTGAAAACCAAGGGAGAAAAAAATCAGAAATTCAGATATTTGTTTTAAGTTACTTGCTTTTGCAATCACAGTAACTAGATTTAGAATAGTTCTGTGAACAAAGTCTATTTTGGCATTTTCAGTTTCCCACTGCTCATAGTTCTCAAAGTTGGCTGATAGCTTATTACCATTAGAAATAGCCCCGCCAAATGCCATGCACATCGCTGGCTCCACCCACCTCCTGCACCCAGATGTCCCGCCCCAGAATTCAGCTCTTGTTCCAAAACTTAGAATCACATCCCAGTGCTCTATACTAAACCAATAAAATTGAGGGGAAGGGAGATGAAGAAGGTGACTTCTTAAGCTCTCAGCTTAAATAAAAACTTACATTGTTATTTTTCCCATGAGGCGTCTCCCCAAATGATTCATTTACAGTCTAAAACAAGATTTCCTGTTGACTTATGCATTCTTCAAATAGATTTTAAACCACGTGGACTGTATTGGCCTTAGGTAAAGAAAAGCCTTCAGCTTGGCAGGTCAAAGAGACTACCTCACAGTCTCTAGATAATAATCACTGCCTACCACCAGTGAAAATGTGGTCATTGCTGACCCAGTTTCAACACTTTTCCCTTTTCCAGGACATACTGGCAAACCATTGAATGTCTAACGTGCGTATGTATATCATCATCTTTTTTCCTCCAGGAAAAAATTTCTGCATTGAAAAAGCAAGCCAATCACATTGTCCAGCAGGCTCAAAGAGAACAAGATCATTTTGTGAAAGAAAAGAATAATTTAATAATGATGTTGCAAAGAGTAAGTATTTCCTTTTTGGCACTGGTTGCAATAAAACTCAGGTTACAGCTTGGGGAAAGTTGCTTCCTTCAAAGCAAGTGCCTTTTAATAATGAATAGCAGATTTTAATTTAAAGAAGGTTTTTTAAATATACATTTTTATTTACTCCTCCACATTAATAAGCAGATGCTCTGTGAATGATTAACTCTAATTCATGAAGTAAGCAAGGACATTCTCCTCGTGACTTTTCCATGGTGTGAAAATTCAAACTTGAAAAACATGTACGTTTTCGGATTTTCTTCTTTTGAAAAAAACAGATTTTTCGTCAAATAGGTAGAACCTATTCTGCTTTTTTTTGCTGCTATCAAACGTTTTGGCTCAGCTGCTGGGGTCTCAAACTCCAATTATTTGCCTCGGGTCCTCCTGGCAATTGCCACATTGGGTTTAGTTTGGCATCACTGGCTAGTAGACACCCCTCATGGGGAGCAAGAGCATCCTCACCAAAGGGACTGTGGTCCCATCTGCCTAGTGCCTAATGTGGCTGTACATAAAGGGTTTCCTTTGCCCAACCTGCAGCCTGATTGTCTGACGTAGTTTAAGATCTAAGACACCAAAAGTTAAAATTGATGGGCTAGTCTCAGCACTGAGCCTTGTATGCAGGCCACTGCCTAGAATGTGACACTTGGGATCCTGAAAATATGAGATGGACCCAGAATGGGGTACAGGAGAAAGAATGAGGGACTAAAGGATGAGGCTAGACCACGCTCCTCCCTAGAAGACATGTAGCTGGAATAGTCTCAACTTAGCCACTTAACTATTTTTAGGTTGAGAAGGGAAAGAAAATTGGTCCTTCACATAGAACTATGAGTCCACTCGAGGTGCACCTACGTAGCCCACACAGATCCCTGACGACTCCCCTCCTCCTGCTTCTTTGGCACCTAGAAATCTCAGAATGGATTTATGTTTTCCATCCCTGTCTCCTGCTCTGGGGATGAGCTCTGGTTCCATTGACCTCTGCACCACCCTTTGCACATGATATTCAAAGGCACAGCTTAAATCAGATAGTGTAATATGTAGGATTTAAGTAGTTTCTGAAGTTTTAGCAAAAAAGGGGGGAAAATCTCATAGTGATAGATTTTTTAGAATGGGTAATCACCATCATACAAATACCACTGCCTCATTAAAATATATAAAATATAATTCTATTCTAAAAATTGTGGTCTGTAAGTATGAAGATTTGTATTTTCCCAAATTGATCTATAGATATGTCTCAGTCTCAATATAAATCCCAGCAGACTTTTTTTGTAGAAATTGACAAGTTGATGCTAAAATTTATAGTTGATCCGCATTATTCAAGGAGTCTGTATCTGTGAATTTGCTTGCTCACTAAAATTTGCTTGCAGCCCCCAAATCAATACTAGTCATACAGTTCACTGATGGACGTGTGCAGAGCGGCAAAAATTCTGAGTCCTTCAGCATACACATTCCCGGCTGAGGCTGAACAAAGCAACATTCTACCTTCCTGTTTCAACTCTCATAGAGTAAATAAGTGTCCTTTTTGTGGATTATTTAGTGCTGTGTTTTCACATTGTTTGTGCTTTTTTTGGTGATTTTGCTGTTTAAAATGCCTCTCCAGCATAGTGCTAACGTACGAGTGCTTCTAAGGGCGGGAAGGTTGCGATGTGCCTCGTGGAGAAAATGCGTGTGTTAAATAAGCTTCATTCAGGCATAAATTACAGTGCTTTTAGCTGTGAGTTCAGTGTTTATGAATCAACAATATATATCAAATAAGATGTCTTTAAACAGAAGCACACATAAAGCAAAGTTATGTATTGATCAGTTGAAATTTTTTTGAAGAAGCACACAGTAACCCACCTGTGTATTTCCTGTAGGAATAATGGTTCAGTATTTACTAATTCAGTGTTCACGGCAATGCTGCAGAACATAAGAATTACAAGTAACGAGAATCAACAAGAACCAAGTTGGAGGATTTATACTATTTGATTTCAAGGTTGCCTCCAAAGCTATAGTATAGAGCTATATGGTGGTGCTGACATAGAGCTAGACGTATAGATCAATGGAACCAAACAGAAAGTCCAGAAATAGACCCACACATATACTGTCTATTGATTTTTTTTGACAAAGGGCTCCGAGATAATCCGGTAGGAAAAAGAAAGTCTTTCCAACAAATAGTGCTGGATCACTTGGGTAAACATGGAAACAAATGAATCCTAATTCATCTGTCCTCACACCACGCATATAAATTAATTCAAGGCAGACTGCAACATAAAAATTAAATGATAAAGTTTCTAGAAGAAAATGTAGGACTGCGAGTACACTTCCCTGGCCTTGGGGTGAGCAAAGGTTTCTTAAAGAGGGAATGACAAAGGACTTATATGCAGAATATATTAAAAACTCCTACAGTTCAATAATGGTCAATAAACACTCAATAAATAAATTTTTTAAAAAAACAGTCCAAAGAATTGAAAACAAACACTTCACAAAAGAAGATATATGAAGAGTCCATAAGACACATGATAAAATACTCAACGTCATTAGTCTTCAGGGAAATCCAAGATTGATGAGGCTTAATAGATTTTGTGTTCCTTCAGGAAAAGGAAAATCTTTGTAATTTGGAAAAGAAATACTCCAGCCTCTCTGGGGGGAAAGGGTTTCCTGTCAACCCCAGTACTCTGAAAGAGGTAAGCTATGATTTTCCATGTCCACTTACATCACCTTAGAAATCAAGAGATGTGCCTTTGTTTTATATGATTAACTAAATAGGAAAACATTAACTTGAGTGACTTTGAAAACATTCAGTGCTTTGATGGGTTTCCTGCCTTTTATTTATGCTTTAAGGGTTTCACGGATTATCTTTGCATTTAATGCAGATGCACTTTGCGTGTGTGTATGTGTGTGTGTATTGCAGACCATGCTTGACCATGACATTGTGGGTTAACTTGGGGTTTCAAACAAGTTAGGATCCAAACCAAGATTAGTCTTCAATTCTCTTCCTCTCTGCAATTTCCTTTTTCAGTTCCTCCTCTTTCTTACGTTACTTCTCTTTCTCCTAAGTCTGATAGCAAGTGAAATGCCTCTGCACATTTGCTAAGATAGCCTGGTTCCTTTCTTTTCTCTGTCTCTTTTTCCCCCAATGTTGTTTCTGCTGTTTCCCTCCCTAAATTAGAAATACCTACTTACATTAAGCTCCACACATTCTTTATTCCAAACATCTATCTTTCTGAAATAACTTTTTATGGAGCTACGCTGCTACAATGGAAGAATATTTTAACTCTAATTTGGAAAGTCATAACCCTGACTGAGAAAAAAAATAGTTGGGTTTTCCTCATATAGTTGACACACATGTGACATTAGTTGCAGGTGTACAACCTCATGATTCAGCGAGTTTTTATGTTATGCCGCGTTCACCACAAGTGTAGCTATCATCTGTCCCAATTGAAAATCGTTTTCTTTGTATTTGTTTTTTCCCAAAAAGCTAAAGAAAAAGCTTGCTTCTGCATAAAATTGTGTGTAATAACAAAAAAACCCTTTATTTATAAATATCTTTTTAAACAATAGCGGAGTTAAGACTTCCTACATAGGAAGTATTTTGTGTGTGTGTGAGTAGGTATCTGAAGTAAACACTCATCACACAATAAGCATGAATAATGTGTATCTTGGAAGCATTTTGTGAAATATTTCTACAAGAGCTTTATTAGATCATGCAGTTTCATAATTTCTCTCCATTATTCAGAACACGGAACCCGCAGATTCGGTGAACACAGGGTCACAGTGGATGGAGTGGAGTGGAAGAAGAGAATGTCAGTGAGGTGGGCAGGGATCAGGTCTTGTGAGGCGTGTTAAAGAAACATGCCTTATCTGATGTGGCTGGGAAGTCAATGAGTGAGAGGTCTTAAGCAGGGAGGTGATATTGTTTGCTGTCCATTTGTTAAGCATCCCTCTGGGCTGCTGGCCCAGATTATGAGGAGCAAGAGGAAGAGAGCAGGAGAGCCAGTAAGGAGGCGGCTGCAGTAGTGGAGGCTGGAGATGCGGGCGTCTTGCCTTCACGCAATGGCGGAGATGGAGAGAAATAGCTGGATGCGGATATATTTTGGAGGCAGAGCTGACAGTTCTTGCTGATAGATTGGATGTGAGGATGAAGTAAATTAAGGGAGGAATTAGGAATGATGTCATTTTTCCAGTTTGAATAATGAGCTGGACAGTGAGGACCTGTTTCTGAGGTAGTGAAGACTGGGGATAGCACAGGTTTATGAGGGAAGATACGCGGTTTGACTCTGGACATACTGAGTTTGAAGGACTGTGGCCTCCAAATGAATGAGACAGGCTCTCGGGTCTTTTTACCTCTTGGTACAAGAATAAAATCTTCCCTTTTCTGCTAATGAGTTCTTGTTTTCTGCAGACTTCCTGGTGCCAAAAGCCCATTTGGCTTTTGACTATTTGTATGTCTCCAACTCTTAAGTTTGTTGCGTAGCTGTGTTCTCTTTCATGGACTAAGCCGACTTGGCTCACAAGATGTTTTGAATGTCTTCCTTTCTTCCCCCCCTCCCCCCACTGTCTCATTCTCTCACGCTTCTCTCTTTTTTTAAGGAGTGATTAATTTATATCTAACTCTTTTAAACAAGTGCCACTTTTGACAAATGACATCCATGTTTGAAGCAATAAATCAGGTTATATGGTCTATGATGTATAAAGAATCAAATCTTGGTTTTGAAAAACCAGGCTGTCAACTGAGCCAAAGCATGACTGGAAGTCGTTGCCCTTCATTCCTATTTATTATCAAAGACAAAAGGAAATTTAAGAACCCAGTTGTCAACTTCCTTTCTTCGATTTAACCTTCTGAAACTTTACATGGTATCTATTGCCGTGAAGTCCAAGACTGTATTCACCAGCATTTTGAAACCTACAGTTTATAGTCAACTCTAGCATTCTCCACTTTGTCGTAATTATAGATCAATAAAAACCTTGCTTTCCAGCCTGAAAATTTTGCTTCACCAACATAATTATGTCTTGCCTACCCTGGAGCCACTTTTTTTAAAGGATTGGTGGGCTAATAGAAGATCCCAAGTGCTAAATTTACCCCAATTTTACTTTTAAAAGAGAAATATTGGGCGCCTGGGTGGCTCAATTGGTTAAGCGACTGCCTTCGGCTCAGGTCATGATCCTGGAGTCCCGGGATCGAGTCCCGCATCGGGCTCCCTGCTCGGCAGGGAGTCTGCTTCTCCCTCTGACCCAACCCCCTCTCATGTGCTCTCTCTCTCATTCTCTCTGTCAAATAAATAAATAAAAATCTTTAAAAAAAATATGTTTAAAGAGAAATATTATTCTGTACTCTTTCTTCTACTTTTCCCACCATTTTGTTGATGTGGTGAAAATTATGATTGATCTGTACAAATACTTACCATGAAAATTGACAAGTGCCTTTTCCTCAAATACAAATTGAGGAGTTTTGAATCTTGCAGGTTTTGATTCATGGGTATTTTCTCGAAGCTGAAGCCAAAACTGAATCATTGTCACGGGCAATTCTCTGTCCTGGGGTAGAGCTGAGAGTTGGGGAAGGTGCCTTGAATTGAAATAGCCTCGAGCTGCAACTCTACCTTAGGGGTGTGTGTTTGTGTGTGTGTACCTTTGTCTTGCTGGGGAAGGCTCATGAGGGGACAAGTGTCCCTTTTATTCTCATTTAGTTGAGATACCGAAAAGCTAGATTGCATTGCAAATAAATTAGTATTTATAAAATTTCTTAGTACAAAAACCTGAAGCCTTCGGCCCACTTTACTCACACTCTAACTTGTCGAAAGACAGAAGAAAAGAGGAAAATCTAAAAATAAAGATTTATGGAAAAGGCTCTTGGATTACGGAGTGAGCGATTGCACTGTAAATTTTATATCTCAGATTTTTGTGTGTGTGGTTATTTTATAATGTTGCATAGTAACGCCCTCATTCAATCAACAGAATGAATGCTGATACCTCTAGATAATCTAAAATCGAAGGTTTTGGGTTGTTTATAATATAGTCATCGTGACTTCACCCTCCCCCCAAAATGATGTGTAATGTTTGGCATATCATTTTTCAAGATTAAGCATCATAAATCCATTTTAATTGCTGATGATTCCCTTAATGAAACATTTGGTAATTCCACAGATATTTGGCTGTGCTGCTCAAAGCTAACTCCATTGTACTGGGAGCATTAATACTCTTGCATGCCTCCGCTTTTGCTTTCTTTGTGTTTAACTTCTGAATTCCTCCTTTTAGGGCTATATCAGTGTAAATGAAATTAATGAGCCATGTGTCAATTCCACGAATCTATCCCCTTCCACTCAGTTCCCCGCTGATGCTGATGCTGATGCCACTGGGCCTACCACAGCTGTGCTGGTGAGCCAGCCACAAAATAAAGAGGTGTGTTGGCATGACATTTCATTCATTCACTGCTTTCCTCACGTCAGAGATTAACCCATGGTTACCTGAAAAACGAAGGTGTGTGTGACCATGCACATCTGGTTGACTAGCAGGCCAGAGTGATGCTGAGTTTGAAAAACATACCCACCTGGGACGCTGTTGTATGAATCCTCATACTGGAAATCATGAAATATATGGTGCAGAGTGGAGTACCAGGAGATTTAAGTTGAAAACAATAATTCTAGATCTTAGCCCTCTGACTCGACCTCGTTTTCATAGAAACCAAAAAGCCTTTCTCAAATTGTTAGTTTGAATCATTTTTCCAATTTGATTTTGTTTTCTCTTGTGTTTGTGGGATGGATTTTTTTTTTTTTAATGTTACACCTTTTTAAAACATCTGGGAAGGGGCAAAGAATAGTAAATTAAAATACCTTCTAACTGATCCAAGTTGTTCCCAGAGTGGAATTTTAACAAGAGGCCAAATTTGAAAGATCCTGCCCATGATTTGTGACTTTTTGATTAAAGTACAAGAAAACAGAAAATTGAGATTATCGATTTCATTTCTTTGTCTTATTCTTTCATTTCATATGGACACATACATACTTTTTCTTTCTCTTATAAAGCAAAGATCACCTGTCTGTTCTGGATTTATGTTTCCTTCCACCCTTTCTCCTCATCCTATCACTCAACCTCCATCAGCCCCTTGGCCCGAAGCCCTGGCTCCGTCTGTCGATCCTTTCCTTTTAAATGACACACCTCCTCCTCTACCAGCTAAGAAATACAGAAGGCAGCGACAACAACAGGAGCAACAGGTAACTAGGCACTGGTGTTCAGAGTCTGAGACTTTGACCTTGACAGCAGTCCCTGATGTGGAATCTTTCCTTCCACTTTTCCAAAGGCATTTTTTCAAAAAGACGTGCATATTCCTTTGCTGGGTTTTCTTTTATTTGGTTGGTTTTTGTTCTTACGTTTTTTAAGGACCTTTAGTATTTTTTAAGGGTGTTGGGATTGTTCTAAACTTTGACCCCTTGACTGTCCTCTCTTGACTTTTGATATGTTGGAGCTAGATACGTTTCATATCCTCATTCTTCAGTTCCCATTCAACCAAAATAGTGTAACTTGTCTCAGGTAGTTTGCAAAATGATAATAATTATTTCTGTTAAATCCATGCTATAAAAAGTTGCTGTGTCAACACAAAATATTTTTCTTACACACTACTGAAATCCTAATAATGGACATCATGCCCCTGCTATGGGTCAAAATTTGCTAAACATTTTACAAATAAATATCTCATTTCTTCCTTCTAACAAGCCTGTAAAATAAGAATTAACTCCTTTTTGACACTTAGGGAATGGAGGCTTACTTAGCAGAGGTAAATAGTTTGCCCAAGGTCACACCACAAATAATGCATTTGGCTCATGGAAGTTTTTATCAATCACATATTTTAAATAAACAATTCATTATTATGAATGTCACCCTTCTTTTAGTACATCTAGTGCATAATCATGCTTGAGTATTCAAAAAGTCTCTTTTGAGGGTTCCTTTCAACTATAATCAGATTTCTATATGAATTTGGCCCCAGAAGATGCTAAGGAATCATAGTCACTAGATCCCCAAATTAGATGGGCCCTGGTTTGCTGGGCCCAGCCATTATATGTCTTGAAGTTATCTCTACTGCCTTTTACCTCTTGTTAAAGGACTGTATCTCTTTGCTACTTTTAGGTTAATAAATATTAACTAGTATAAATAGATAATTATAAAGTTAAAATGCAGATATATTTCATGATTGGCATGTTTAAAAATTGATCATAAACTTGGTAACTCAAATTTGCATTAATGTTTATATATTTCAACAACCTGAGCTTAGTATAAAAATGATCAAACCCTAAGAACCTTTAATTAGGAAATAACTTTACTACTTAAGACATTCTGGGGGGAGGCTAAGAAAAATTTGGAAAAATTTCAAGTTGGCAAAAATTTTGCCTTAGGAATCTGAAAAGAAAGAAAGAAAGAAAGAAAGAAAGAAAGAAAGAAAGAAAGAAATGGTCAGCAGGAGGATTTTAAATACGAGGGATTAGTGTAGGGGTTTCTTGGCTAAGGTCTTTTTTTAAATAAAAGAACAACCTAGAAGGATGCCTTATATGGAAACGTTATATGGATTTGAAGTGTTTACATGTAATTAAACTATTATTCGACTTGAAAACAACTTCCCTGTTTACTCGCTCTTTCTCTCCATCTTCTCCCTTCCCTGTTCTCCTCACACTGGGATCTGTGCCATCACACAGACCTGTCCAGACAGACAAGGGGAGAAACTGCTTACTTGCTTTGTCCACTGGCTGTTCCGCCATCCACATGGCGACCATCATAATAATTTGTAAGTTGTCCTGAGTCCCCAAGACTGCAGGCACTAACTATGAAAGTGAAAGGTGGATTTTTTTTTTTTTAAGTTTCTCATTTCAGTAATAAATTCTTCCAGTGTCTATGTAGCTTATCAAATGCTAGCCCTAGTCTGTTAGTGAACACAAGTATAAGTTGAATTTTTTTTTAAATTCTGTGTTAAAATTCCAAAACTTCTTTGTAAATGCATACTTCTTAATTCCTTCTTCAGTGACCTGTTTCAATTAGTCAAGTTTTGCTATTCTGCTTTACATTTGCATTTAAAGCATTTTAGAAGTCTGGAAGAAAGGAAAAAACAGCATAAAGAAGGCCTCTATCTGAGTGACACTTTGCCTCGAAAGAAAACCACACCTTCCATATCCCCACATTTCAGCAGTGCTACTATGGGGAGAAGCACCGCCCCGAAGGTAGGACGTGGGGTGAACCATGGGCTTCGCGTTCAGTGAGTCTTCTTGTCCTAACGTAGGCCAACGCGCAAAGGCTCTAATAGAAAATGCTGAATAATAAACCATTAAGTTTGCTTGTTGGGCAGACATAAAACTATATTGCATTTTCTATCCTATTCAGAGGACGTTCGGAATTGTGCACTCTGTAACCAAAGAACCTAGTCCTGGGTATTTTCTACCATCACCACATTAAGTGGTGAATAGCGTTCACTTACTTGACAGATTCCCATGACCACCTCCCAGATCTGGAAACTGGAGGATATAAACTCTGGATTCCAGGAATAAGAGCAACAAATATTTACTGAGAGTCATTTCGATGAGCCTGACCCTGGACTAAGCCCTTTATATGGATTGTCTCATTTTAAAATCTGGCAACACTATTCAGCAAAAGTTCTCTGTATTATTCGCATTGTACGTACAGACAAACTGAGGTGTAAAGAGGCTAAGCGACTAGCCCAAGCGCCCTCATCTGGTTAGCAGTGAAGCTGGACGATGAACCCATATGGTGTGACACTTGAGTCCTCACTCATGTTTTGCGACGTGTCCGGGGGGGTGGTGGTGGTCACTGCAGAAAGAGGGGGAGAGGCAGATGAGAAGGAGGTTCTGAGTGGGCCAGGCTTTGGGGCCCTTCCCTTGCCCTCAATCAGAGTAAATTTGTTTTAATCTATTTCATAAACTGGTGTTCCAGGTATATTTTACACTAAAGATTTTCTATTTTAAAAGAGTGCTAACCCTCGGGGGGTAGTGAATAGGTTTCTCCAGTGTTCAGGGGGAGAGGGGCATTGGGACACTTCTAGCAAGTAGAGCTCTTCTCTTCCTTGTGCATGATGTGCATGCATTCTTGTCCCTGCATCTGCCCTCGGCTCCTTACGCACGAAGAACTCTGAGTGGCTCTCTAAGGGACAGCGTTTCCCTATCTGTCTTCCTTTTTGGAGCTGCTGCCACTGGAGAGAGCACGGTGACGTTGAGCCTGCTGTGGGGCTCCTGGGAAGGGTCCGAGACAGGCCTTTGCCACGTAGCGTGAATTACGGGACGCCTTCGTTCCTCCTTCCTACCTTCCCTGCCCTCTGGGCTGACCCTGGAGCTATGCCAACGGGGATGTGGCCCTGTCCGGGAGGACCGTTTGGCTTGCAGTTTGCCTCAAGTATTTCCTCCCGGTTCGCACAGGTTCACCTGCCCCTGGGACAGAGCAGTAGCTGCGGCAGCGTCCTCCCTCACTCGCTGGCAGCCGTGACCAAAGACTCAGACTCCCGGAGGGTGCTCAGAGGTAGGTGCCTTCTAAATCACACATCCGGGGGCGCCTGGGTGGCTCAGTCGTTAAGCGTCTGCCTTCGGCTCAGGTCATGATCCCAGGGTCCTGGGATGGAGCCCCGCACCGGGCTCCCTGCTCAGCGGGAAGCCTCCTTCTCCCTCTCCCACTCCCCCTGCTTGTGTTCCCTCTCTCGCTGTGTTGCTCTCTGTCATATAAATAAAATCTTTAAAAATAAAAAATTAAAAAATAATAATAAATCACACATCATGTCTGTGGTTAAGCATAAGAATTTCTCCAGGAGAGGGAGCAAGAACAGGGGTGAGGATCATTAGAGAGGGAACAGCCAGGATCCTCAGTTTTATTCTTAAGGAGTCTTCTTCGGGGAAGGATCTCTATATCCTTGTTGTTGTACTAAGGTAACTTTTTCTATTCTACATACGGCTGGCACCTTTTAAACATACCCACTGCGCCTCCTAAATTCAACAGAATTCCCAAACCAGGAAGGCCCCTCAAGAATGACTAACCTTCCCATTGGGTAGAAAGAAAAGAGAGACCACAGAGATCTGGAGAGGTCACCAGGGCACTTAACAAAGCCACTTACCTGGTCTGTGGCTGAACGACTACTCTGTTGAAACATATGCTAAAGAGTCATTGAGCTAACACACTAGTGGCCAGGACAGAATTCCCTTAGGGCTTTTCATGTGGTCTGAGCTTTTCTTCTATGTGGTTGTTGGGTTTCAGGTAGACTTGGATTCTCAGCATCTTTCATTTCTTTTTAATAGTACATTGCATTTATAATGGGATCGAATAGTCCTTGTGGGGCTGGGAGAAATTACTATAATACAGTTCCAGAGATGAGCTTCTCGTTGAGAGGATTAGAGTTGTGTCAAAACAGTCATTTAGGTCAATAGTTTCTATGGCCCTAACTTTTGAGCAGGCATGGTGCTAGAGACCAAGAATGCAAATGAATGACACAGTCCTCACCCCTGACACGCTTATACTCTAGTGACGAAGAAAGACACATAATAGATGATTTAAGGGGCGCCTGAGTGGCTCAGTCCGTTAAATGTCTGCCTTCAGCTCAGGTCATGATCCCAGGATCCTGAGATTGAGCCCCACATCGGGCTCCCTGCTCAGCGGGAAGCCTGCTTCTCCACCTCCCTCTGCCCCTCTCCCCCCCCCCTTGTGCTAGCTCTCTCTCTCTTTCTTTTGCTCTTATCTCAAATAAATAAATAAAATCTTAAAAAAAAAGATTATTTAAATGAAATGTGGTACATGCCATGATGGGGGAATGCCCAGGATATAAAGGGGGATGCCAATGGAGTGGTGGGCATTTGGGCTCTAAATGCAGCCATGCATTAGTGGAATTGAAGCCCTTCCCTCCAGCCAGGCTAGAATTCAGTTCTGACTGCTCAGCCCTTCTGCCAGTGGTATCAGGGGATAAACACTGGTTTCTCGCCAAAAGAAAAAAAAAAAAAGAAAGAAAGAAAAAACACACTTATATATATATATATATATATATATATATATATATATATATATGAATTTTGGTATATATAAAATGTGTATATGTTTATATATATGTATATATCACTTGAAAGAGGTTTTTGAATCATTAACAGAGATGATTTAAGAGTTCATAGAGGCTGTAGTATTCTTAAGAGAGATTTATAATGCATGGGAGATTTACAGTGTTAACATGTGAATCAAATACAGTTGATTGAACTTCGCTTTTATTTTCTTTTCTATAATTTCTTAAGTTAAAATATCTCTTATGATTTATAAATAATAAACACAAATGAGTCTTGATGTTTGGGCTCTCATTTATCATTGTTCACTTGTGGGTCAAGTCTATTTTCTGTTAAAGCATTTTTCTGTGATATTTATAGACTTTTTAAATGAGTTTTTCCCACTGGTGGAACACATCAGAGCTTGGATTGGCCTCAACACCACATTTTATGTCAAAAGTGTTTTCTTAAAGAGTAAGAAAAACCAGACCTTTATACTAACTGGAGAGATTTGCGAATTCAAGAGCTATTAACATTATCATGTAAGAGGATTCTTACGAGAATTCTGGTGAAACCGAAGGATGTTTGATCTTTATTTTTCTATGGGAATCCCCATGCTAGGTTCCTAGAGGAAATGTGAGCCAATTCTGTTAGGTCCTAGTAGGGATGTACTCTGCAAAAGCCACGGACTTAGAGCTATCTTTCTGCTCTGGTCCTTCACCCATGTACTTCACTTCTGTGTATCTGGGAAAACTGCGGCTGCATTCTTTCCTGCTGCAGCTCTCAAGTGGGGTTCTCCTGACAGAGTTCCCTGTGGTGCTGATGAGGCACCTCGTGAGGAAATCGAGAACCATCCTGTGTGTGTTGTTCCAAGCAGAGATGATGTGTCTTGTGAAGCCAGAGGGGGAGAGGCCAGGGACTGCACTTCTCAGAGCCACGATAGACCGGAAAATTGGCAGGATTTTCTCCTAACCCATACAGGTGGCCCACAAAGACCAGGAGGGATGAATCATTATTGCATTTAGAATTGTTTCACTAACACGGTATTGGCGTCACTAAAATGGCAAATGCCAGTAAAATTCCATGGTTTTGAGAAAATTGGACCCAACACATTTTCATTGATTTAAATGTAATAGATCTTATCATTTTGGGGGGAGTTACACAATTAACTTAAATGAACTGTTTTTTTTTGCTGCTTGTTCATAACGGATACATCAAGGACAATGGTGTAAGTATAAGCCTTCCTTCCATCAGCACTGTTTTCATAGAACTGACAACGTGAATCACGCCAACAAAGATCTTTGAGAGCAGAGTTTAAAGCAGAGAGCCCAGGAACCCAGCTCTTAAAGTTGTAATGGTTATTGGCTTTTGTACAACTTGTGAACTGTTCCTTTGTAAGCTCTAGAATGAATGAAATCTTTGTCCTTTTGTCTTCTGTTAAATGCAGGAAAGTCCAAGAAAGGTATGACAACCTCCTCGTGTGGTGTTTTTGTTTTCAGCAAATAGTGAAAGGTCATTGTTAAGTCATCTTTAAGAAATGATGGGATTTGAAACTGTAAAATAGTGGATTTTTAGCCTAAGGATCATTCCTTTTACACAAGAGAGAAAAATTGTTGCACGTTTGCTAGAAGCACAATCCTGAGTGCAGCTGCTGTTCATTCACAGGCAGCTGTAGGAGCCCCTTTGTTTTGTTTTGTTTTTTTATTACAAGGTCAGACCCTGCAGGAAACCAGAGTGCTGGGGAAGCACTGTTTTGCAAGACTCAGAATCTAGATAAAGATAAGAGTGGGCATGGTCATGTATATAGGCTAAGTGTAAAACCTGAGGTTTCTGCTTTCTAAAGGCCAGGTATAAATAAGCCTGGCTAAAGGGGAGGAGGGGAGGATTTAGGACGCTCCTACTTATTTATTCCAGTTAAGCCTATTTTAGAAGACAGACCTCGTGCAGAGTGAAGACCAGTTTGCATGACTGACTTGAGTAAATAAGATACTTATTACTGGGGCCAGGTGGCAGAGATGCAGGGTGTCAGAGGACACACTGGTTATAAAGTTTGAGGGGACTGTGCTTTGAATAATTGAATGGCATTTTATAAACCCTAGCTCTTAAAACTATCTGTTGCTGTCTGCTTGGGAAAAAGAACTGTTTTATTGCTATGAGCTCCTTTTTATTCTCCCTGTTTTCTGGCTGGCGAATATGTGTGAAAGATGTTTCTTTCCAAATGTTGTTGACTAACTGTATGCATGTATCATAAGCTTATTATTATTTTTTAACTTCTCAAATTCCTCTCCATAAACTCAGATGCAATCTAGAAATGTGAACATCCATCTCGCCTTGTTAATCTGGCGATGTGACTAACACTGTCCATGATGGCATATTTTTCTGGTCTCCTGTCATCCTTTTTGATCTTGTCTCTTTCTCCCTTTCTCCATCATTCCCCTCCTTCATTCGTGACTCCTCCTGTACCTTCATCTTCGGCTGTGGACTATGGTTAGGAAGGATGAATTTCTCAGCAGGTGAGCTATGATATGCTAACTTGTCAGAAAGACTGTTACTTTTAGCCTCTTAAACCCAGATTATAGTTTTAAGTCATCTCATTTTCTATATTAAGCCCAGTTAACCATTTCAAGTATACAACACGGGGCACCTGGGTGGCTCGGTCGGTTAAGCGTCCAACTCTTGATGTCGGCTCAGGTCATGATCCCAGGGTTGTGGGATCGAGCCCCGTGTTGGGCTTGCGCTGGGCTTGGAGTCTGCTTAGATTCTCTCCCTCTCTCTCTGCCCCACCCCCTCTCCCTCTCTTAAAATAAATAAGTAAATAAATAAAGGAGGGAAACAAAACACATTTGGGAAGATATTGGCAAAACTGTATATTCCACAATGGCACAATGGTTAAGTCACAAAGGAGTTTTCAGGCGTAACTAGCCAGAATTCATAGGTAGGCATGAATAAGAAGAAGCAATGGGCCTTGCTCGTCCTCTCTACTGGCTCTCTCCGACAGTGATGAGAGTTGAGTTAGTTTGGGTTCCTTGCATGTGCTCTGCTGAGTGGCGAGCCTCAGATACCGTCAGCGCTCACTTTACAAACCTTATAACTTCCCCTCCAATGGCCATTTCTGCCTGGATAGAAAGGCTGTAGAGCATTTACAAGGCCCTCTTTGCTTTCTAGTTGCTGACCCACTGCTGGATGTTATTCTTGCTACATAATTTAAAAACAACAACAACAAAAAACGAATAGTCTCAGGGATTGGGAAAGTCTCGTTTTTCCCAGTGCACTTACTTTGCCTCACCCCAGACAGTAGATGCATTCCACTTCCTTATTTAGCCACTGCTGAAACTGGAATTTATAGATGAGAAAATGAATTGATTCTGTGGCTCTTTAGTTCATGACATCCCCATATTAAATGAATGTGGATCCCGTGGTGTTCAGGACACCTGCGTCCCCCTCCCCAAGATAGCTGGCATCTGTTCCGGGGTTACCTAGTGGCATGAGCAGTTCTTCCTGGGCCTCCTACCAGGGTACCCCCCTCGTTTGGTCCTGCTGCTGTCCTGGGGTGTTTACGCCATCAGAAGTCTCTATACCTTTGGACAGGCAGGCCAGAGCCCGAGTCCCAAAACCAGCTCTTTGGAATCACACGGGTACAATTCCAGAACCACAGGGAAGGGGTCCAGGCTTTTATTTGTGATTGGAGAGATAACTTAATTTTTTGAAGTTGTTCAGGAGGGAGGAGGCTAAGCCAGGTGGCCACTGAGTTCACTGTGATTAGTAAAGGGTTGCCAGTCGGGAGAAATGAGCTTCTCCATGAGGTAGAATATTTCCACTCACCCTAGATCCACAGGAAACCAAAATCCTGCCCCAGGAAATATATGCTCATTAGCAGCATGCTCTTTCACTTAAATTGCCGTGAAAATCTAAGGTACTCACTCATCCTGCTGCCAGAGTGGTGGAAGGTTCTCTCAGACATAGAGCCGAACTCTGACGAATAATGGGGTGACCTGGGGGATTTATGTTCACAATCCTTAGCACATAGTCACACCGCTGGGCCTTGCGCCCACATCTGAAATTTTTGGGTCGTTTTAGTGTCCTGTCTACTTCACCTGAAGGTTGTAAGTTCATTTTCTTATTCTGCCATACTTTGGGGGGAAAAAAATCGTGGAAGATTTGAGGATCAGGACCCACCGTCTTCTCTGCTTTTCCAAGAAGGTGTTAGTGGCATTATAGGGATTCGCCTTTCCTCATGTCAGTGCCAAGGAGATAATTCTCGTATGTTTTAAATTACGTGGCTCTTTTAGGGATTTGGTTTTCGTACTAACACTAGGAAGTGTCTTCCACATAGTTGGTGCCAGTGTGGAAGATTTTTTTGCCAATAGGCTTTTTTGAAAGCATAAGGAAAGATTCATGTGTGACTTTTTCAAATAATTTCTGGTATTGTTGTTTTTTCTTTTTCTTTTGGCCCTCTCCTTTTCATAATAACTGGAAACGATTTAAAAGGAGCAATTAGTAATTCCAAAAGTTCAAGTATCAAAGGTAAATATCTGAGTAATGATTTTTTTTTTTTTTTAAGGCACAAGCTCCACGCTTATGTATTGGCTTCACTTAATGCTGTCTGTGTTAATCACTACGATTAATGGCCTTCTATCGAAAGTGTCGTGGTGTGCTCTTTTGTGTTGCATCTTCCCTTAGCTAAGCGATATGTGGCTCTTACGTGTGTATTTGTAATTTATAATTACAGCTTATATTAAGGAAACTGACTTCCCCAGAAATGCCCTCATCTGAACTAACATATTTGCACTTTGATATTTAAAACGACTCCAAATAATTTGGCATGCAAACTCCCCGTGGAACTAAAATCATTTTACAGAAACTTCTGGTTTCCGATGCTTTGTTAAAGCCTCATGGAGACTATGGACTCTGAGAAACAAACAGGGTTTTAGACGTGCCGGGGGGGTGGAGGGATGGGTTAGCCCGGTGATGGGTATTAAGGAGGGCACGTACTGTGTGGAGCACTGGGTGTTATATGAAAACAATGAATCATGGATCACCACATCAAAAACTAATGATGTATTGTATGGTGACTAACATCACATAATAAAATTAAAAAAAAAATTTTTTTAAAGCCTCATGGATGTGGCTTCTGCGTTTTAATGCAAATGCTCAGCTGACAGCTGAGGAAGCTGTTTGGAATCGCTGCCCCCCTTTCACCCTCTGGCTGCCTTTTTGACCATTTCATTACCAATTAAAAGCCTCATCAGAGATAGGGAGAGCGCAAGGAAAGAGGCGAAATTCAAATGGTCCAGTCATAAACTCTTAATGGATCTGGTAGTGAGTTTGATGAGGGAGAAAGGGATGGCAACCTACTGCTGGCTAGAGAAACGTCTTTTTAATGAGTTGAGGAACTGGTTTATCAGTACGATTCCTGCTTCCTGCGTGTGTGGCAAATAGAGAATTGAAAGGAAGAATAATTCGATTTGCGTTGCCCCAAATCAGCCACCAGCGAGCAAGCCATCCAACAACACAAAGTAAAGCCCATGACCTAAGAGGCCAGCTGACCAAGGACCAGGGTAAGGAAAAAGCCTCTTATTGATGGCACTTTTGCTGCGATTCATGTGAGTTCTGCATTTTCATATGGTTGGCTACCACCAACTAGCTGAGGGCTGACAGCTAAGGTGGAAAAAGAAGAGAGCTCTGTATACGGTAATTAGGAGGCCTGTGCGCCCAAAGGGAGGATTGTTGACTGTGAATGTTTTAAATAATTGGTGGGCAAGGAAAATTGAAAAAAAGAAGAATGAGAAAAATGTGCAGTTTGGATTTTTACCAGATCAAAAGTGTTAGTGATAATATGAGATACAAGATCCTTAAATCCTACACCTAGGTGGTCCACCTGCTGTTTTACGACCAGATCAAGTATTCCTTAATGAATACTGTTGAAGAAGTGACTGCCCTAAGACCCAGCTGTTGCTTGCCACCAGGAGTCATCTTGCTTCACTTGAACCCAGCTATTTTTAGAAGATACAAGGCCTTTAATTGTGTTTGTTTTGGTTTGGTTTTGCCTGTTTTGTTTTTGTGTATGCTGATATATTCTCAGTTGCGCTGCAATGTGGGAATGGCAAAGGAAAATGTGAGATGATCCACTGAGCAAAAAGATCACTCCTAAGACCACTTCTTTGAAACTCTTGCTTGCATGGAGCATGATGCTGTGCCTTTGATCTTCTTGGCTTCAAAACAAATTAGACCAAGGTCCAAGTTTCATAGGCAGATGTTTCGGGTTGCTGGTTTGAGTCTCAGAAGATCTAAGACTAGAAAATGAGGCATACTAACATATTTATGGCTCTTTCCTTAGGGTATAATCACCAACAGATGAGTGAAGGACAAAGGCAGAAATCTTCTGAATTTTACAACCGCACAGCATCTGAATCAAATGTCTACTTGAACAGTTTCCACTACCCCGATCACAGCTATAAGGACCAGGCCTTTGATACGTTGAGCCTAGACAGCTCCGATAGCATGGAGACCAGCATCTCCGCCTACTCACCTGACAATATCTCTAGGTAAGATGTATTCATGGTTAAGGTTTCCAGTGTAGAAAAGCACCTGCTGATTTCAAAAAGTAAAGCCATCAGTTCGGAGGGATGTATATGTACAAGCCCAAATTTCTGAGACATAAACAGCCTATGGTGCAGAAGAGGGCTGAGTGTCATGGCAGCCTTTGAAAGTAATTTCTTTGTATTTTGTGTGACTTAGCCAGCCAGACATCATATAATCCGTTTTTCACCTTTACTCTGTTTCTTTACATTTGAATTCACGTGTATACCATGCTTCAAAAGTCGTTTGCCTCTTTTGGTTGACTGCAAGCCTCATTAGGGATCCTTTTGATTGAATAAAGAAATCATTTCTGACAATACAGTAAGAATTTTGAAAGATTCCTTACACTTTTGTTTCATTAAAAGCAAGGCTTTAGCTGTTCCACATATTAAAATTTTTGTAAGGATTTAACCATTCACATTCGTGTTCGTACTTGGAGGCAAGCAAAGATGGTCTTACGGAATTACAGCTAAAGGCACATCTAAAATATAGATCTGGTCCTGGTATTCTGCCCCTTCAAAAACTACTTCCCTTTGAGTAAAGTCATGCCCTAGAGCCTGCATTCTGGATCCATCCCAACTCCCCATTCACTCTCTCCTCCTGATACCCCTCAGAGGGCTTCTTATTAATTGAGAGGGTGATGAATATGCAAATCTCTGTGCCTTTGACCATATTGGTCCCAGGTCTGGAATCAAGTAGTTTGTTCACTCATTCATTTATAGGCTCCTTCATTCCACAAATACTTATAGAGTGGTCTAGAGGCAACAGTGGGCTGGCGCTGGCTCATACTAGCTGGCAAGTGCCAAATGTGCATATTTCCACCTACGTGTGATCAGTGATGTCATGTTGGTAGTTTGAAATTGGCCATGGTGGGAGTATATACTCCACATAAATCGACATTTGCTATATATCAGGGTTTTTAATTCCCTCCAGAGAGCTGATTTACCAGCACAACACTGTCTACAGTCAATTTATCCTTCCACTTGTGTGTTCACTCAATCCATACTTACTGAGCACCGGTAGTATCTGGCATTGTAAATATCTTTACCATCTCCATCCCCCTACTCCCGTCTGAGCCTGGAGAAACTTTCCTCATTCTTCAGGCTTAAACTTAGGTTGGAAGCTCATGAAAATTTCTCCTTTAGGGCCTTTTTCTTCTGTGTTTCCATTGCACTTGATTCTTTTTTCTATTATATCACTGATCACATGACAGTGTAAAATTTTTTCTTCAGTAATTAATTGGTGAATTCCTCAATGTCAAGGAGGATGGCTAATGATCTTTTGGTTTCTACACCCAGCAGAGATCTTAGCAGATAGTAGGTATTCAGTAAGGGCTGGCTGAATAAATACCTCAGGATATAGTAAAATGGCCATATTTTCAATTTTGTTATTTTTTTAATTTTTGTTTGACCTATTTTAATTGGCTGAGAACCATTATGATTTCAACCTAAGAAACATCCAATATTCAGTAAATGTTAATTGAGCCCTTGTGTGTCCCAAATACAAATGTCTAGTTGGATCATTGTCATCAACAAACTTCCCTCTGTTGGACTGAAGCCACAGGCTGGAAGTAGGAATGCGTGTGCTCTTTGGGTGGCAATCATGCTCCTTGAGGCAGATCACAGAATGCTCTTGGTCCTGATTTACTTGCTAATCAGTGAAGTGGAAGGATTGTTTCTTGCCTACAAGACAATGGTGAATTTTAAAACATTTTGGTGGAAAATTACCGTCCTGTAAATATAATTTATTTCTTTACAAAGATTTGAATAATTTGCTCTCCCCTCACCTGCAATAAGAGAATGACAGCAAGAGAGGGAAAGTAATATCAGCAAAATGTACTTAGCTTTGGGTTATTTCATGTTTCATAAATGAAAAGAATATGAGACTCAACTGTAACCAGACATTATAGCCAGAAAATTTTAAGGGTGGGGGAAAAGGAGAAGAAGACAGATGTTATATTCTATGGCAAATAAAGTATACAGTGTATTTTCATTTTGGCATCAATGGGTGAAATATTAATATTATTGGATATATCCTATCAGAGAAGGAAAAGAGTCTCTGGGGAAAAATATTAAAGCACCAGTAAGAATTGTATTGCTGCTTGTCACATGGGGATGACCTAAATTGAAGGAGGAGATTATGTAATGATAAAGAATAGGACTTTTGGGGCGCCTGGGAAGCTTAGTCGGTTAAGTCTCCGACTCCTGGTTTTGGCTCAGATCATGATCTCCAGGTCGTGAGATCGAGCCCTGCATCAGCTCCGCCCTTGGTGGGGGAGTCTGCTTGAGATTCTCTCTCTTCCTTGGTCCTGTCCCCCCCCAAAATAAATAAATCCTAAAAAAAAGAATAAAGCTTTTTGGGGGTTGCCATTATTATGTCAGGTTAGAAGATTAGTGTTTCATGTTATTCAATATTAGCTCACTTTTTAAAAAGTTTCACACGACTGTGTCGGGGAGACCCTTGAGCGTGTGGAAGGAGTGGGCAGCGAACCATCTGGCAGTGGAAGGTTCTCTGGTGACGTCCGCTGCCCCGTGTTTGTCCGAGCCGGGCCAGCAGGTGCCAGCAGCTGACGTGCTCAGAACAGAAAGCCTAGCATGTTGAGCAGTTATTCATAAATGACAGTAAACTGACTAATCAAATGTGGTGCTTCTGAATAACAAGACACAAACAAAAGTCAGCCGCCCAGCGACTATGATAGCATGGTGACAGGAGGAATAAAAATGGGCATTAAGAGCGAGAACACAGATTCCCAGTGTGGGAGGGACACCCATGCTCCGATGGCACTTGGTACTTAGTCGTTATTTTGAAAACAGCAGACTATTCTCCCTTCTTCCCAAATAATTGTGAACATTTTATACCAATATTTCTGTGGTGAACTCTTGATAGCTTGACGTCTTATTTATATATTTTTTAAAGATTTTTATTTATTTATTTGAGACAGAGAGAGAGAGCAGGGAAGGGGCAGAAGGAGAGGGTGAAAGAATCTCAAGCAGACGCCACACTGAGCACCAAGCCCAACGTGGGGCTCGATCCCACGACCATGAGATCATGACCTGAGCCAAAACCAAGAGTCAGACGCTTAGCTGACTGAGCCACCCAGGTGCCCTGTTTATCTATTTTTGAGCAGTCTTTAGTAAAGAAATACACTCTAAGCATTTGCCTGTCTTGGCATTTTTCCACTCCCTGCCTCGTCCACCCTCCAAAAGTTGAAAGTAAATATTCCTCCCTCCAGATGGCCCCTCCACACCTCTCATATTTAGTGGTGGTGAACAGCAGGTGTGTAGAGCGGGCACAGGAAATTACTCAGAAAGGATCCACTTCGATTCTAATTACCAAGCATTACAAGTTCGGATCTGGACACTTAAGCACAGTGGCAGGGCAAGAACTGAACTTATTTTCATTTGTTTGCCTGGTTGCTTTTTCTTAAAATGGTTTCCAGAGGTAGAGAATGAGAATGATCCCAGTCAATACTCCGAATGAAGAAGACAGCGTCCCTGTGGGGCATTCCTGGCAGGTAGTTAGACATGAGCACGATCATTGTGTATCCTTAGTTCACGCAGACCTGACCCAGGGCACTAACCATCACAGATAACCAATCACCATGGTCAGAAATTACCAATAGTATTTATGTCATTGTGCTGTCCGATCCTCTAAATGTCAAAAAGCATTGAAACCAAAGTAGAAGATACCTGTAAAAGGCTTAGTATATAAGGGAGAGAGAGGGAAACAAACATTTTGCTTCTGTACCACCATCTACTTTAAAAAATTCATGCTACCCTAAGGTAAGCTTGTATCTACTATTATGATGGAAAATACTATGATAAACATTAGGCAAATGGGTAGTAAGAAACTAATGTTTGGAATGTATATTATGACAACACATCCTTAATGAGAACTTTTTGAAGTTGGGTAGAAAGAGAAAGAAAGGACTAAAACATTTTCTCTTTGTGAGATTTTTTAAAGCTATGTATTAAAATACCCTGAAATGATATGTGTATTAAAGAGGTAATTCCATGCTGAAATTCTAGTGACAGAAACTTAGTCTTGTGGTTTATTATGTCACAAGAAGCCATTTGTAGAATTTCAGAATTACACAGAGCTGTGGGTACATTGGCCCTTCGCTTTTTGTTGAGACATCATTTTTGTGTCCACCAGAAAGTTACTTGAGTCAGACAGTATGTTTGCTTTTTCAGCATCATTACTTATACCCTAACCAAACAAAAAGCTAAGAAAACAGGCTTTGGGTCATAGAAAATGGCAGCTGAGAGTCAATTCTACACAAAACCTCTCTTCTGCTGAAATTACTGACTTGGCCTAGACTGTGTAGTGTTCTGCATACTGCCTACAATGATATGTTATTATCACAATTGCTATTACTAATTTACCAAGCCCTGACCTTGTGCTCATACTTGGAGAAAATGTTGGGGGAACTTGATCCTTCATTATTGCTTAAATGCCAGCAGTGTGCATGTGGGGTGGGGAGCAAGACCGGGCACGGAGTTGAGGGCAATCTGTGGCTGAACTTGAGTCTAAGGGATGCTTTCATCTGAATTTCAGATGCTTCAGATTTCTTCATTTTAGGCAAAGGTTTGTATTCTGCTTTATACCCTAGATAGTCAACACTCAGTGTCTGCATTTTATTCTAGGGAGTTCTTTCAGAAGAGATACAAAAAACCAAAGTGATGGGGGGCGGGGGGCAGCCAACTGTCAAAGGGACCAGGTGTATGAAACCATGTGAAAAACCGTTAGGAAGGGTTGGAGGGCTTGTTGTGTTCTTGTAATATTCAAGGAGCTACTGAACAGAGAAGGGCTAGACATTTCATGAGGAGTAATAATTTGCTGAAGCTGAAAAAATACTTGAGAAGATTAATTGAAAATAAATATTCTGGGATACTGGCTCTTCATTTTTTTTTTTTTTTAAGATTTTATTTATTTATTTGAGAGAGAGAGAGAGAAGGAGCAGAAGTAGGGGCAGAGGGAGAGGGAGAAGCAGACTCCCTGCTGAACAGTGATCCCGGATGCGGGACTCAATCCCAGGACGCTGGGATCACAACCCAGGCCAAAGGCAGCTGCTTAACGGACTGAGCCACCCAGGCGCCCCCTGGCTCCATTTAATGGCAATACTGGTGCACTGATGGCCGTCTTGGAAAAGTTTTCTGTGTCTTTCTGGAGAATTTTGTTTTGCTCCAGTTAGTTTTGTTCTGTTTTGCTTTGCTTACTTATTTCTTGTATGCCATTGTTCTTTGCTTTTCTTTTTTAATTTTTTTCTGCTTTTGCCTTTGCCTATGAAGTGAATATTCTAAAAGTCCTAAAAACCTTAAATCTGCTATTTGGATTCCTTTACCCTTGCTGGAAGTTTTGTTTTTCTTTATGAATATGGTTTTTACCAAAGTTGGTCAGATGCACAAAGAAATCTTCAGTTGACAAAATAGCAGAACATGACCAAGTAGGAAAAGCCACCAAAACTAGTCATCTTTATATCGTTAATGGCCCAATGACTGAGTATCACCAGCATCCTTACAGCAATCACATGCAAGATCAGAAATGTGTGCCTGCCTTTTGAAGAAGGTCAGAAGTTAGAGCAATGGAAAGAAACACGACTCCTCTTATAATCTGGATGCGCTTGAGAAAGCAAACATGAGTGTTGTGCTCTAGGGAATGCATTATCAAGCTTATCTTCAGGGACTTCAGACTCTGCTTTTGCATGGCAGGTGCTCAGCATTTCACTTGCTGACATCAACGTCTGCCATGGATGCCATGGTATGACAAGCGTAGACTTTTCTCTACATTCCCATTGCAGCAGCCTTTGCTTTTCAGTGTAGGTGCAACCCTGATGGGACAAAAAAGTAAAAAAGGCGGTGACAGAGTATCACAGAGCAGCGGGAGTTTTGCTAAATAAAAGTGGTTTATGTGTCAAGGAAATATTAAAATCAAAAATAGCAAAAGTGGGGCTATAGAGAACAAGTAGGTGTCCGTGGGTACAAATTATTTTTTTAAACAAAATAACCAACATAGCTTTAAAGCTTTATAAAATGTAGCTCAAAAAAGTAGGTGACTTTAGGTGCCTACAGATCATGAAGACACAAGGTGGTAAATGTTAAAATGTATTTTCTATCAAATGTTTTCAGAAAAATTGAGTTCCTTTGGAGCAAAAGTTAAGATATTTATGGAAGTATTGCCAAATAAGCAAATTGAATATAACTGGCAGAAAATAAACTATAAATATTATAAAATAAATGGAAAACACCCTGAAAAATTCCAAAAAATGAACAGAAATATTTAAAGACAGATAACTATTTGAAAACTTGCCCCCAGGATGTGCCCAAATTACAGATATATGAAAAACCATGGACTGAAAATATTTGTTTCTAACCACGTTATTTCCAACCAGTTCATCCAGATAGGTTTCATGCAGCTCAAGGTCATACTTAGTTAGGCCAGTGAATAGAAGCTGTAGGAAGATAGATTTTGATTCAACTTAAGTATCAACATTCTAACAATGTTATCCAAACAATGAAGGAATGGATACAGTAAGTTTTCTGTAGCTAACAATGCTCAGGCACAAACTAAATGAAAAAGGAGTATGTTCTAGAAAGAACTGAAGGACAGATGGGGGTTAGACTATCGGTGAGTGCTTTTTTTTTTTTTTTAAATTCATGAGTTTTTAAGACCTGAGACTTAGTGAAATCAAATTATTTATTTCCAAATCATTAGGAAGCATAAGACATATATACCTGATGTCACAGACAACACTCTCGATTATAAACACCATACTGTGCGATTATAGGGCCTGATGTTTGTCTTTGGCTTTCTCAGTTGAGCTGACGAAGTGTGCCACTTAGCATCTATGACCTTGACTGTTCTCAATAAAGAGGAATTCCTGCAAAAAAATTAAAGATTTTTTTCTTTAATTCTTACTGGTTGAAGAGAACAGAACTTACCCTTTTTTACCTCCCCCAACAGTTCATGGAAATGAACTGTTCTCTCTTTATCAGGAGAACACACCTGGCTAAAAATTGGCCCAAAGTAGCCCTGCAAAGTACAGAGATTAGTTAAGCTTCCAAGGAGACAACAGTCCTAAGGCTGTCCCTTTCCTGGATGGATGCACTTTGTAATAGGGCAGGAAATACTGATTTTTTTTTTCTAAAAGACAATTTTTTAGAGCTGTTTTAGGTTCACAGCAAAATTGAAAGGAAGGTACAGAGAGTTTCCATATACCCCCTGTCCCCACACATGCACAGCCTCCCCCATTATCAACATCCCCCACCAAAGTGGTGCATTTGTTACAGTTGATGAACCCATATTGACACCCAAAGTCCATAGTTTACAATTGGGTTCATTTTTGATGTTGTGCATTCTGTGGGTTTGGACAAATGTATAACTTCATATACCCATCATTATAGTATCATACAGAGGGTTTTCATTGCCCTGAAAATCCTCTGTGCTCTGCATATTCATCCTTCCCTCCCTCCCACCCCCCACTTCAAACTACTGGCCACCACTAATCTTTTTACTGTCTCCGTGGTTTTGCCTTTTCCAGAATGTCATCAAGTTGGAGTCATACAGTATTTAGCCTATTCAGATTGGCTTCTTTTACTTAGTAATATGCATTTAAGCTTCCTTCATGTCTCTTTATGCCTTGATAGTTCATTTCTTTTTAGTGCTAAATAATATTCCATTGTCTGGAAATACTACAGTTATTTCATTTACCTACTAAAGGATATCTTGGTTGCTTCCAAATTCTGGCAATTAGGAATAAAGCTGCTATAAAACTGCTGCTACTGATTTTAAGATAAACCATATGTACTGTGTTACTGTGGTAATTTATCTCTGTAAAGGAATTTAGCCCTATGTTTGAAACATCCTAGGTTTGAGTTGATCAACAATATAATTTGGGGGGGGGGGCGCGCCTGGGTGGCTCAGTCATTAAGTGTCTGCCTTCGGCTCAGGTCATGATCCCAGGGTCCTGGGATCGAGCCCCGCATAGGGCTCCCTGCTCCGCGGGAAGCCTGCTTCTCCCTCTCCTGCTCCCCCTGCTTGTGTTCCCTCTCTCGCTGTGTCTCTCTCTGTCAAATAAATAAATAAAATCTTTAAAATATATATATATATAATTTGGGGAGACTATACTAAGAATTATCCTTTTCATTTTCATATGAATTCATTTTTATATGAATGCATCTGACATGAATCCCTATTGTGTGCCGGACTATGGAAGATACAAGAACAAAAGTCTCTCTGTCCCCAGGAGAGTCTAGAAAACAAAAATATATTAAATGGCTATACAAGTCTACTTGCACAGGAAATAACATTGGTTCTCTATGGCTAGAACATCAGAGTAAAGAAGTTTTGACCTAGGTCATGCCCTTTTTTCCAGAACACCCCAATGAAATGTAAGAGAAAAATAACATTTTTGGTTAGTGTTAAACATTTCCATGTCCTTTTCTTTCTCTTTTCATTACTTAGCCTAACTGTTCTTGCAGCTTTTATTCCTTTTGGTTTTTTCCTTCACTTATTTGCATGATGTCTTTCAAGATGCATTTCTCTTGAGGCTCTTGATTCCCTTCATGGGGGTTCCTCATCAGTATGGTAGATGAGTATTATTGACAAAAGTAGCCACCATCCTTCTGTTGCACCTTTAAGAGAAGGTTGTTTTTTTTTTTTTTTTTTAAACCGGCATCATCATGTAAGAAATAAAATGTCCACGTGTGTGTGTGTATATATATATATATTTTATACATATCTCTATACATAATGTGGGGCTCAAACCTATGACCTGGAGATCAAGAGTCACATGCTCTTCTAACTGAGCCAGCCAGGCACCCCCTAAAATGTCCACTTGTATAAAGGCACAGCAAAAAAGCAACTGGGGACACATTTCCAAACCAAATAAAGTGACTTTAAACCATAGGTGTCATCTACATAGAACTTTGGTGATAGTCTTATTGGCCTGATATCTCTGAACAATTAAAGTAACAGGAAAGCCTCCCACGGTCCATAATTTTTAGACTCTGGAAAAAGCATTTTGAGAACACACTTTTTGTAAGACTTATTTTGGGTTTATTTATTTATGAGTAAAGCATTCTACTTTGGTATTTCTTCCTTGCCTATATTTTGTCTCGTAAACTGAGGTAAGTCAATGTCACCTACAATTTTCAGAGCTGAATTGCCTGGTCTGTTCAGGCCAATGACTCTCCTAAGTAACATACTTTAAATGACATTGGATTGTGTCATGCACCTTCCCGGAAGCTGTGCATGTGCGTGCGTGTCTACGTATGCGTATGTATTTCAAGAGACATCAATCCCAAGCAATATTCTTGAAAGGCCTTTGTGTTCTTTTCAGTGCCAGCACTTCAAATATTGCCAGAATAGAAGAAATGGAGAGACTTTTGAAGCAGGCTCATGCAGAAAAGACCCGACTGCTTGAATCCAGGGTAGGCATAATGTCTTTATGCCAGAGGTCAGTGAGGCAATGGTTCATCTTGCCTGCACGGGACAGGAAACTGTCCTTGGGCCTTGAGAAGCAATATAATCTTGGGAGTAGTCAACCTTTTTGGCCTCGTTTTTTTTTTTTTTATCTGAAAAGTAAGGGTGCTGGAGAGGATTTCTAAGCCTCCTTACTGCACTACAATTTTTTGTAATTTAAAATATGTATAGTGTCAACGTCGACCGAAATCAGTGCTTTGTATGGTATTTTCCCTTTGATGGCCACTTTGTTTGCCTGCCAAGGAACCGGGAGGAATGTCATATCTTTATGGACTCTCCCTTCCTTGCCAGCTTGTGTGAACTGTGCTATTGTAATACTTAAAATCCCACGTTATTGTGACTGTATTTCAAGCCAGAATCTGAACTTCCTTAGGAATCCCCGCAAATGCCTTTGCATCCTGCCTTAAAGGGCCCCTCCTTTCCTCTTCTGATTTCCCCATGAGCTTCCTCTGCAACCAACCTTCTTCTTCAGCCAGGAAGCCACAGAGCAACAAAGGAACTGGAAGGACCAGGACCAATGGCCTTCGGTTAGAAGATGGCCCACAGAAAAGAGGACTAAATGCCATGACTAGTGTTGGGTGACGATTTGTGATCCTTTTTATTAAAAGTGGGAGAGTGGTCCCACTTTTCAGTCATCTGTATGAAATGACTGAATACCACAAGCTGGGTTTTCACTTAATATTCAATTGTTAATTAAATGTGGTGGTTGCCTTTCTGTGTGGAATGATTTTGAAAACTACGTGAGAGGTGATTTTAGTCTAGGTGGTCTATTGGATGAGCCCAGGCTATACAACCAGCAATTATCTAGTGAGAATTTTCTTTGCCCTTAGTTGGAATCATTCAAGTGTGACCAGCATGTCTTAAAATTTGTTCTGCATAATGATATTTAGGAACGGGAAATGGAAGCCAAGAAACGAGCTCTGGAAGAAGAAAAACGACGGCGAGAACTCCTGGAAAAACGATTGCAGGAGGAAACTAGCCAGCGGCAGAAGTTAATCGAAAAGGAAGTAAAAATCAGGGAGAAACAAAGGGCACAGGTTGGTGGAACAATCTGGATGGATTAGAATAGGTCGCCCCCTGGTGGTCATTCTTTAGAAGACGGTTGTGCTTGTCAGGATGCCTTTCTGGGCACCTCCTGTCCGCAGCCCTTGACATGTGACTGCTAAGAGACCGGTAGGGGTTCAGAGACCAAAAAATGTATGTTTATCTCAAAACTCATTGGGACCTACTAACCAAATGACACTTTTCTCTAGTCATGCGTCGAACATTTTTATGGGAGAGGCATTTTTCTTCTACCCATTTTTTGCGGTATATTTAAAAGGAGCCTGTTTTTCTGAGCAGCTTTGAAAAACGCAGGTGGACTTGCTACTGAAAACAAATACAAGACCCAAACTAAAACCTCTGGTTGAGGAAGAGAAGAGGTTCTATGAAGCCATTTTTGGAAGCAAACACTCCAGAACAAAATAATTTTGCCAACCCAATTTTTTTGGTAGTGTTAGTGGGTTTTTTGTTTTCGTTTGGTTTTCTAACCACTGTATTGTCACACGTCCCCTTTGCTACAGCCGTCCACACATACGTGTGCAAGATTACTGAACTCAAGCAAAGCTCAGGAAAGCCACACATTTCCTTTAACTTCCTCTCTTGCTTATCATAGAGTTTAATTCTCTGTCACTAAACCTGCCTACATAATATATGTTTGCTGAGGAACTAAAATAAAATTTCATACAGTACCACTTAACGCAGGGTTCAAATCCATTTTGCCAAGGTTTACTAGACTTCATAAAAGGTGCCATTTCCCTTATTCTTTATGGTTGCTGGCAGTTTGATAGCATAGCGGTGAGAGACTATCTTGAAGACTCTGTGTGCTTTGAGGTATCAGTGTCTGTGACATCTGTCTCAAGTCAAATACCACCGAATCAAAGGCAAAACACTGAAGGAAAAATACAAAGGAAAATGTGTTCATTTTATTTCGTTATGTCCACCCTCTTCCAAATTATGATTTGCAGGGAGGTCATCCATGCCTGTTTGGTATTTGAAGCCAAACCAGAAAGCATAATTTTATTTTAATCCTAATTATAAGGTTTGCCTCTAAGTATATATTTAGGTCATTTTCCCCAGGGCAGAGGGGTGGGGTTATTTAACAGAATAAACTAAAGCACCACTTTAGAAATATGACCCATGGCGATACGTGCTTCTTAGATTAGATGAACCTTTCCTCTAGCCATAGTAAAATAAAAGACATCTTTGTACATCTTGTCCATATCTGCTCATTGGGCAGTTCATTGAGTATGGCTTTGATTCTACTTCTTACCTTATTTTAGCTTTCACTTTTCAAAGCATACATCTCTGCCTTTGATTTCTATCAGAAAGTGTGGGGAGCTGATGTGTATAACTTTGGGTGGGGGGTGTACTTACTAAAGAATGTTCACCAGTCAGGTCGTGTCTGAGATTATTTGAGAACTGATGTTAGGTTGTATAGGGAGAAGTCCGGGGAACTTCACAGGAGAAGAGTCTTCATTTGTAGGAGGCAGCCCAGGGAACTTCATGCCTCATATGATTCTCTGTTTTTAAGTGCTAAGTACCTCTTATAAAGCTAAGGTTAATGGCATTTTCCCATTTTCTCGTCTGTCCATTTCAAGGAGTAGAATCTATTCCCCTGAGTTTATCCGTCCCCCCACCCCCACATATCGTAGCATCCTTCTTAAAATACTAAGCACTCTTTTAAACTCCAAAGGATAATGTTTATCTTAAGTTCTCATAATCACATGGACATTTTAACGCTTAGGCTTTTCAGTTCATGTCCACTCCTAAACATCTGTGACCTGAAACGAAATGATTAATTAGCTATATATGACATGGGTTTGTGCTTTTCCAGGCTCGACCTCTGACACGCTATCTGCCTGTCCGGAAGGAAGACTTCGATTTGCGAAGCCATGTAGAGACTGCTGGCCACAATATCGATACCTGTTACCACGTGTCGATCACAGAGAAGACCTGCCGAGGATTCCTTATCAAAATGGGTGGAAAAATTAAAACTTGGAAAAAACGATGGTTCGTTTTTGATCGGAACAAGCGCACATTCTCTTATTATGCAGGTGAGTGAGAAAAAAAAACCCTAAGTGATATATTCAAATCAGGAACTCTCTGTTAAAGAGCAAAAACATCAGGATGAATGGGTTGATTGGTAAGTAATAGAATTAATGGCAGTCTTAGCTTTGCAGGTATGTATTATTTTATATTCAGGTTATATAGTCCCCCTGATATGAATTTCATCTCTAAAAATAATAAAAACTATGTTATTTAAAAAGTGTGAATTCGTGGGGCACCTGGGTGGCTCAGTCGGTTAAGCGTCTGCCTTCGGCTCAGGTCATGGTCCCAGGGTCCTGGGATCGAGTCCTGCATCGGGCTCCCTGCTCGGCAGGGAGCCTGCTTCTCCCTCTGCCTGCTGCCCCCCCTGCTTGTGCGCGCTCTCTCTCTGACAAATAAATAAATAAAAATCTTTAAAAAAAAAAGTGTGAATTCATCTCTTCTAGTTCTGAAATAAGCTGAAGTCCAAATAAGTAGTAAATGGAATTTTTCTTTTTAGACCAAAATACTGACTTTTAAACCATGAGGCCAGAAAAAAGGTTTCTATTTATTTATTTATGGTCATCTGCCCTATTTAAGTCACACACAATTAGGCAGCCTTGGCTGACAGTCACTCAGCTAGAGTTTATAAAGTAGAAGTTTATTGAAGCAGAGGGTAAAGCTCATCAGTGAATAAGTGAACAAGTAAGTATTTATTAAGTGACTGAAATCTTTTTGGATTCTTTAAATGATGGATTATGAGAAACGTACCCTACTGAATCTTCTGAAAATACCGGAATGTGGATGTAACTGCTGTACTTATTAAGAAGTCTCCTGGATCACATTGGAAACACGTCCATTGTCAGCACAGCTGGAGTTCTGCTCTCTTCAACAACTGAAGAAAAGTGGCATCATGCCAGAGCTTGTGAAGAGACCCGTCTCTGTGGTGACGGTGCCAGCGTTGATGAGCACTATCAGAAATTGTTACATTGATGTCATAAATAAGGAACTGTCCAATCCCTCCATCTATAGTGTGAGGCCAGGATACGCTTATGAAGAGAAGTGCGAGTGACTGAGAAGCATGTGAAAGAGGGGAAACACGGGCTGTGGGGCCCCAGAGTTGGGGTGAGGAGGGGGCAGGGGCTCATACTTTCAGTTAGGGGCTCTCTGGTGGGGCTCCAGTTAATGCAGGAGCTAGCAGCCTGAAGCAAATGGCCTAACCCTCAGGAATTCCCCGCTTGCCTCTCTCGGGCTTTCTGATATCAGGTTTAATGAGAATCCAGAGATGTTCTCTTCAGTTAGTACAACAGAAAAGATGCTAGTTTAATGAGAAATGCCAATTTAGTGTCTGCAAAATCCATAAACAAACCTTTGTGCTGTGCTAGTCTCCACAGACAATCTCACCCAGAATTTTCCAAAACTAAAATTTTAATTATCCATTTCAGACAAAACAGCTTCACTCTTCTCTGCTTCTCTTCTCCTTGCTTCTTTTGTCAGCCCGGTCAGTTGCTCAGTTCCCCTTCCTTCTGACCCATGTCAGAACCTATGCTCCTTCTGACCATGTAAATGCATTTTTCCAAATTCAAACTTCTTGGTGATCGGTTTTTGATTTTTTGTTAAGGACCAAAAACATTTTGGTATATGAATGATTACTAAGAACTGTAATACATAACACAGGCGAAAATTATATTTCATTCGGGTCTTTATTTTTATTTTTTTAAAGCTTTTATTTATTTATTTGAGAGCGAATGCAAGAGACAGAGCACAAGCAGGAGGGTGGGTCAGGGAGAAAGAGAAGCAGACTCCCTGCTGAGCGGGAGCCCCACACAGGACTCAATCCCAGGACCCTGGGATCATGACCTCAGCTGAAGGCAGATGCTTAACTGACTGAGCCATCCAGGCGCCCCTCATTCAGGTTTTTAATATTTACATATTATATAACTGGCCAGTGAGTCCTAGTTTGACAAATGGCTCTGTTTATAGCCCTCATTAGTTTGTCGGCTCGCCTCACCCCCACCCCCACTCTCCCCAAACATCACCAAGTGCAGGAATAGATCAGTCCACAGGAAGCCATACAGATCGCAGTTCAGGCTGGACTGGACCCCCCAGGTGCTGTACCCCTTCAGCCGGCACGGAGGTAGATGGACACCATGTTTGTGAAGGAGCTGTCACCATGAGCGCTGACAGAGTCCTAAGTCCCTGTGCTTATCATGCCCTTGGCCTCTATATTAACTGAGTACCCTTAGAAGAGTCTCTAAAGAAAACTGAGACCCAGAAAATATATCTGTAAATTGATGGGATAATGCTATGGAAACTGAATGAATAGCTTTCTCGTGTCAGTTTACAATAGCATTATTGATTCTCTTAGTTCACCATGTCCTTGTCAGGCCAGTATTTTTTTAGAGCTCTTTCTCATATAGGAAGAGCCCTACAAACAAAAGTTTCGTTCCCCAGTTTTCTGCCTCCTTGAGACACTGATAAGAGTTACTTTTATCTCCAGATTTTATTTCACATCTGTTTTCAGAAAATGAAGTATTGCTGTATTCCCATTAATAGTGCAGAATCCTTCCCCGTGAGTATTTGAGATATACACTGACCTCTTTCACAGAAACTGATGGAAACCCACTGACTGTGGCATGAATTAAAGCAGTGTTTCCCGAGGAAGAGCAAAATGAACAAACACATACAAATATGGTCCATGGTCAAACATGGTCAAATAAGTTAGGGAAGGGGTGCCTGAGTGGCTCAGTTGGATGGACGGCTGCCTTCGGCTCAGGTCATGATCCCAGGGTCCTGGGATCGAGCCCCCACATCGGGCGCTCTGTTCAGCGGGGAGCCTGCTTCTCCCTTCCCCCCACTTGTGCTCTATCTCTCGCTATCTCTCTCTCTCTCTCAATAAATAGATTAAATCTTTGAAAAGAAATAAATTAGGGAAATGCTGAGTTAAATGTACTACAACAGCTTTGTATTTTCCACTGAACTTCTCAGGGCTGTTGTTTTTCAGACTAGCTTTTCATTGCTGAGAAAAGAAACATTTATGAATAAAATTCTTTTTTTTTTAAAAAAGATTTTATTTATTTATTTGAGAGAGAGAATGAGACAGCACGAGAGGGAGGAGGGTCAGAGGGAGAAGCAGACCCCCCGCCGAGCAGGGAGCCCGATGCGGGACTCGATTCCGGGACTCAATCCCGGGACTCCAGGATCATGACCTGAGCCGAAGGCAGTCGCTTAACCAACTGAGCCACCCAGGCGCCCTGAATAAAATTCTTAAAAATAGAACAGAAGTCTATATAATGAAAGTCTCTTTCACGTCACAAAAGTTCTGACCTTTTCTCCATTTATATATATGTTTCAGTATAGATATGTATTCTTTTTTAATACAGTTGGGACCAAATTATTCACTCTGTTCATAACTTGGTTCACATAACAGTATTTCAATATTTTTCTCTGATGAGCACACGCAGATCTAGTCTTGAATTTCAGTGGCTGTGTGGATTCCACTGTATGGCTGGTCTCTAATTGAATCAGTCCCTTGTTAAATTCAAGCAGATTTTTTGCAGCCTTTTGCCGTAACAAACACAAATCCATGTGCACGTGCATGAGTAGCTCTGACACAATAAGGTTTGAGGAGTGGAACTGCTGAGTGAGAGGACTGTTTGCAGTTTTCCCAAACTGCCCTCCCAAAGCTTTCTTATTTGCACTTCCACCAGCAGCATAGGATAGTCTCTTTCTTTGCAGCCTCTTTCATGCTTTTTTAAAATTCTTGAGTATGCTCTCATGCATTTATGATCTTTGCTGAGCGTAAGTTACAAAATATTTCAAGAACTTCTTAGATCACAGAGGGATGCTGTTTGGTTGATGGTTTGGTTGGTTGTTTTTGTTTCATTTTACGTTTTTTTGTTGTTTATTTTTTATGGCAAATTTGATGAAATCTTAGAAACCGTTTGGAAAATGCTGCATTGAAAGGACGTTAAATTATTGACTTTGAAGCTCTGTTGGGAACAGGAGAAAAAGCATGCTGGACAAGAAATTCATAGGAAAAGAATATAAGTAGAATATTATTTTAAATTACGTCCAAAAAACACCCTTCTTACAAATTTCATTACAACAGCTCTACATACTGATGTTTCCGGGGCAACCACTGTTCTGGAGAATGTGAAGAGATAATTTGTATCAGTGTCAGTGGTGTTTATACTTTGTGTGCTAACTTGACTGTCAGGAGTTCCGGGTTGTCTTGGCTGCAGATTTGCGGGAGAGCCTTGGGCAAAGTCAATTAGTCCCCGAGGGTTGGGCTGATTATTCCTTTTTGTGTGTTTGCTTTGTTTGTTTCAGTATAGAACTGGGCTAATGCCTTCACCTAAATTATCCAAATTAATCTTAGGTAATTTAAAAACTAGATAAATATTTTAATAACTATACTGAAATTACAATGTTTCCAGTCCATCAGTGGTGATAAAGTATTTTAACACTATTTATTATTGCAGACAAGCATGAAGCTAAATTAAAAGGAGTAATATACTTCCAAGCCATTGAAGAAGTGTATTATGATCACCTCAAGAACGCTAATAAGGTAAACACTGATTTTCAGATTTCTGTCCTTTGAATGCATAATTAAATTGGGAAAAAGATGTTTTTTGAACTCCAAGCAATTTAGATTTGTTGTTCTGACATAACTGATTGATATAATCATAATGGTTCTAGAAAAGCGAACATAGAAGTAATTAATGCAGCTGATCTTTTGTGGGGGAAAAAAGTCATGGTGAAGTGAGAAAATCTTCTGGTCATATTAATTTAGAAGATCCTGTTAAGTGACTTTTTGTGAGGTTCTAAGAAGGAGCTACTCCTTGGTTATAAGGAGGAATCTTAGTAAGGCTAAGAATAAGAGCTGTCACTTACCGAGCACCCACTATCAGCTAGGTACCCGGCTAGAGCTTTACCTACAAAGTAGCTGCTAAGAAGATTGATTGGTGAGCTCTCTGTGTGGTATTTCTTGTCCAGAAAGTTTGGAAAGACAGTTGATCTTGAGAAAGGTGTTGGAGGTGGGGCTACAGGTTATACTAGAGCAGTAGTAAAACCAATTTAGAGTTCTATAAATTAGAACTTTTAAAGAGGAAGAAGCCCTCACATATGTCTGTGTCATTTAATTTCAGGATGTTTGTTTTACATTCTTTTCCTCTTTTGATTTTTAGAGTCCTAATCCATTACTCACCTTTAGTGTCAAGACGCACGACAGAATCTACTATATGGTTGCGCCGTCGCCGGAAGCCATGCGCATCTGGATGGATGTTATAGTCACTGGGGCAGAAGGTTACACGCACTTCTTGTTGTAGTGAATAACAGTCTACTTCAGGGCTGACTGCAATAATCTCTTACAAGAATGAAGCCATACTCAATCCCAGATGGAAAGACCCAACAGACCCATCCCTCTCACTGTGTATACTCAGAACTCCTTTTATATTAATAGAAAGTCATTTATAAAAGAGAAAAAAGGGGTTTAGATTCAAAGCTGGATGATAAATAGCGAAAGGATTGAAGCACCTATGAGAAAAAAAAAACACTGTTTTGGTAAATAGCATCACTTATAGGAATATTTCTTATAAACTGTTTTTATTGATTGTTTACTTTGGTGAAATAAACGGAATGGTTTACAAAATGTATGTACTTGGAAATATGAAATTATTTTAGCACCCCAGTTATTGGCATTGACATTATTGGTTATCAACTGGTATTTTAAAAAGCATTTTGCTGAAGGTTATTTTATAAATAGAAGCAAATAAGGGTTTGGAGGGGAATATATTTTAGGAGGAGTTTTGCCCTAATTATTAAGTACTGCACCTAAACCAAAGACTTGATATGACTTCTGTTTAACAGTGGTAGTTTCAGGTGACGAACCGCATTTAGTGTTACTCTACATTTTAAAATGGTACTTTGATGCCATCAACTGTCTAGAAAGTTGACTCTGAACAGTTACCACTGGTATAAGCTACTGTACATAGAAAGCAAATCACTTTTTGTAAAAGAAGAAAAAACAAAAAGTTGTGTTTTAGATAGAAGCCGTCTTATTAGACATTCTGTCTCTTTGAGCAATTTAAAATAAGGAGAAGATTTCATATTTTGCTAAAGATTCCTCCATTCCTGGTGCTGAGAATAAAGGTAGCCAGCAGCCGATTTCCTGTAGATTGTCTGTTTCCTCTTTTTTGTAGAACACACCTGTTAAATGCAGCCTCACGTGCCATAACGATGAAATCAGAGCTCTGTTTTCACCAAAGAACAGACCAATTAAAATACTTATTTACAGAAGTAGCATAGTTCTATAAAAAGGAAAATGAACTTTGACTTAATGTTCTTTGTAATGTACTATTTTATTATGTATTTCTTTACATTTAGCCTTTGTTTTTTAGAGTTAAATTAATTTTTGTTGAATGAAATGACTTCAGGCAAGTCTCTTTTATAACAGTTTTTCAAATGACTTTATCCTGGTTTGTCATGTGTGTATTTGCAAGTATAAACATACTCTTTCCTAAAAGTTGGCAAATGAATAGAAGTAGGAAATAATGGCTTTGCTTACTAGGACAGGGTGAAATGATTAGATTGGAAGTGTCCGTAAAATCTTTGTCAGGCCTGACGGGGTACAATTTTTAAAACTTTGCAGTGTGGTTTGTATACATGTATACATGTTGCCAATAATAAGATTTTGCAACTGGATAACACATGATTTTACTTGAACAGTGGAGGACAAAGTCACGATTGCAAAAGACATTTTTATAATATGTTTTTTCAGAGATTACCCCAAACCCGTAATGATCTAAAAGAGTGAAATGCAATTGCTAAAATTTTGTTGGTTAATGTAAAGATGTAACTTGTCTGTACTGTACTTTATAGGATTATAAAGATATTCTAATCAGCATTATATTTTGCATGATGTAGTAAACCTTTTAAAATGTGTGTTAAAATATGTTGAATATGGATTAAAATGTTGACCAGATTTCACATTTGAAAATAAACTCATCTCTCATTAGGAGGTTACCTATTGGTGACATGGCAGGGGATGGATTAATCAGCAAAAGTCAATTGTGAATCTCCACAAAAGTTGTTGTGTGCTAACATTATGATTTGTAGTTTTATAAATTGAAGTAATTCTAAGTCTCTCTGGTCACATTCCTGTTGCTAACAAAGTGAGATAACCCCTGACAAATCTGACATCTTACTGTCTTTTTACAAAGATGCAGTTATTACTGGGGATTGCAAGGACTGTGCTTATTTCTCTGGCAGGGAAAAAATCATGTAGGTGTGAATTAAGGGCTTTACTTGATAGCGACCTCATTTGTCTTCCTGGGCTAAGGCAGCAGGTTTCAGAGAGAGAAATGGCCCTGAACAATATGTCCTATCACTCCTGTGAATGAAGGCAACATTAACAGTGGGTATGGAAACAGATTAGTTTATTTCAAGCCCATCACTGTGGGTAAAAGTATCTTCACCTGATCTAGCCAGTTTTTCCTGATTTGTTATACTGATAAGGGTGGATAGAGAAAACAGTCCTTGTATGACACTTTTCCCATTATGGAGACAAGGCAGGTTTTTTGCTTGTTTGTTTGTTTGTTTTTTTCATTTTGCTGCACATAAAATGCAAGAAGATCTGCAAAAATAAAGGGAGAGAAGAAGGACAGGAATGATTGAGAATATTTGCAATTATCCAAAAACCACAGTGAGAAATGTTGATTATTAAGATATAAGGGATAGTGAAATGATGTGCTTTGTGTATCACCTTACCGATTTAGGTCCTTTGTAGTCTACAACGGGCCTAATGGAGAACTGGCAAAATAGCTCACCAGCTTTTGGAGTGCCACCTGAAATCAAGCAGCCCTGCTTGCTATTTCTGGCACTACACCACTCAAGAAAGATCTATTTAATTTTTATTTCACTAACTTTTTCAGTATGTTCCAACAAGACAGGTTCTCAGGACTCCAAAGATAGGCTGGATTCACTGTATCCAAACTTTGCCTTTAACTCTAGCATCAATCATTGCTCCACAATTTATGACCAGCATAGTAAAGTGGCTTTACTTAAGTATTATACCAACCACAGTAGCCTGAAGTAGAAAAAAAGATCTTGCTTGTTGATGCTTGGCACCCCCAGGATTAATTTGAAGGGTGCCAGAGCTAGAATTCAGAAACCCTTGTACAATTTATTCAACCATTTTTCTATTACTGACTTCCATTTTTTCTTCTGCTTCCTTCTAAAAACGGTGATGTAGCTGATAGTATGCCTCCTTATGAACTAGTGTTGTTTTCTACAGGAGAGTCACAAACTGGGGCCACTGGGTCAAGGACATTGAAAATGATGCATATTTTAAATCCTAATAGGTGTGGTGAGATTACCTGACAGAAAAGTTTAGCAATTAACCTCCCACCAACCCTACACGAGTGCCAGTTTCCCAGCATCCTTGCCTATAGTTGCTCTTTTTAATTTTTGCGAATCTGATGCATAAGAAAAATAACGTTATTTTTTCAACGCACATTTTTCAATTAGTGAAGTTGAACATCTTTACATATGAACTGCCTATTCACAGCCATTGACCAATTCTATTTTTTTTTAAAGATTTATTTATTTATTTGAGAGAGCGAGAATGAGAGAGAGTACATGAGAAGGGGGAGGATCAGAGGGAGAAGCAGACTCCTCGCTGAGCAGGGAGCCCCATGCGGGACTCGACCCCGGGACTCCAGGATCATGACCTGAGCCGAAGGCAGTCGCTTAACCAACTGAGCCACCCAGGCGCCCCCAATTCTATTTAATTATAGGTTTTTTCCCTTATTTCTAGGAGCAGGCTGAATAGAAGTATTATTGTTCTGTTATCTGTGCTGTAAAATCAGTTTTTCTAGACTCTCATTTGACTCAAGATGACTTTTGCCATTCAAAAAGTTGAAATACATACACATTTTTATTTTTATAATTTTGTTTCATATCTTGCTTAAGAAAGTCCCTTCTTTCCCCAAACTCTGAAATATGCTCAGTGTATTTAAATCCTCTGAGTTTTATTCTTCCGTTGAGACCGTTTATCTACTGGGATTTATTTTTGCATATAACATAAGGCAGGGGACGGAATAATTCAAAAATTCAGTTGTCAGGCATACAAAGAGCTAGAGCAAAAAACGAAGGAGCGTGAGTAGGTCCACTCCGGGTGTTTCTGCAAGCAGGATTAAGGTCCGATCTTGGAAGCATTTCCGGTAAGGCTTAAAACTGTCGGAGCGGGAGAGCGATTTGTAATGCAAGCAGCCTAGCTAGCTAGCACCTTATGCTTTCGCTCCCTAGTGTCCTCAGGATGATGAGACGGTTTCCTATCTAGGAACGTTGGATACGGGTTCTCTCGGCGCCTCCAGCCACGGAATATCTATCTGCCCATTGAAAAAGTCGCCTAATGAAGTCACTCAAAACATTCCCAAGCATCAAAGGCAAAAACTGAGAGAATCAACTGTCCAATAGCGAGAGGAGGGCCAGCGCGACGACGCTCTGCGCATGTGCGCTCTCTCCCGGGGTGCCCCTTAGCAAGTCCGGGCTTCCGGCTGGCGGCGCACGCGCAGCCTCAGTTACTGGGCACTGAGCGACTGTGGGTCCGCTCGGCGCTCAGGGGCCGCTGGGAAGATGGCCGGAGTGGGCATGGCGGCTCTGGGCGCTTGGGTACCTTGTCGGAGGTGGAACAAAGCGGCAGTGTTCGGCTTCCGCCGTGGCGTCACCGCGTTACTCGCAAGGAAGCCCAAGGGGACGCCGCTGTGGCTCCCAGGTGAGTGTCCGAAAGGCGGGAGAAGTACGCGTTCTTTCGAACATCGGGTTCAGTCCGTTCCTGTCTGGTGCGTTTTTGGCGCCCTATTTCAAAATGCTCTTCTCCCATTCTCAGTACCCCAGTTTTAGGCGCTTTCAACAATTCTGGTGAAGGCAGTAAGAAGACCTCTTCCTGGCCCCCGGGTATCCTGCACAGCCCGGGCCCTTGCTGGCGTTTTCCGCTCTGCAGTTTTAAGGATTCTCCTCCCTGCCTGCCTCCCCGCGTTAAGCGCCAACCCTAGGAAATATTAAGATGGGCGTTTATTAGTTGCTTTTTCTTTCCTTTTTCTTCGGGTCTAAGGGGTTTACAAATCTTGACTCTGTTAGGATGCTTAGACCTGCCTTTGTTTCACTTGAGGGAATTTACGGTATGAACTTTTTTGTTGTTGCAAAAGTGTAGACGCCGCCATCAAGCCTAATTTCTGATTTTGCCTTCTCGATGCTCCCTGCTCAGTGAAAACCATAATCATTACTCAACAAAGGAAACTAGAATTTGGACCAAAAATGAGAGCATCTGAATGTTTTCTTTATCTTGTCTTTGATTCTTCCCCATACCACGCTACCCTCAGTAAATACAGTCTGTCTTTCTGAATTGTGTCTTTTTATTCTCCGGTTTTGTTGTTCACACTTTTGCCATACAAGCTGTCAGGTGCACTGTGCTTGGAATAGAAAGGTCATTGCTGATACCCTTTGTTTTAGTTAAAATTTTAAATGTATATAATCAGTTTAACTTACATTTAATTGTATACAACCTAAAGGCTTGTTATATGTAAGTTCCTCTATCGAAGTATGGTATGTCAGTTCATTAACTAGATTGTAATGCTCTTTCATCTATTTGGCACATCATTGAGGACTTAAGGCATCAGCCTTTGAGCTAATCGTTGTAGTATAATAAGATCATTTATGGGTGTAATGTTAAGAACCTGTCCACTTACAACTCACCAGAATGAAGTAAATTGTAATTGTCTCCAGAAGAAATTCCTGTTTTGGGAAGTAATATCAAGAAGAGGATAGGAGGGATTTTTTGAGTGCTGAGCTAAGGAAATGGGAAGTTGACATTTTTGCAAATACAGTCTACCAACCAACATAACTGGCCCTTACTAGCCCTGGTTTTCGCTTAAAGTTTTAAATCTGGCATATTTCACTATACGCTGAAACTTTGAAACACATATGTAATAAGGATAGCTTTACGCCTTCAATTCAGTTTTTAAAAATTCAACTTCTCAGGCTGCCTGGATGGCTCAGTTGATAGAGTGTAGGACTCTTGACCTCAGGTTCGTGAATTCAAGCCCTACCTGGGCATAGAGACTACTTAAAAAAAAAAAAAAAAAACTCAAATCCAAAATGAAGGAAGCTTTTATCAACTCACGTGGAGGGGGCCGAGATGTTTTCATTGGCCACAGTAAAGGAGAGGAAGGTTTCATTTACTATAGTCCAGAAAAAGACTGTAAGGAAATACACATTTTTTTTTAGATTTATTTATTTATTGAGAGAGAGCACGAGTGTGTGTGTGTGTGTGTGTGTGTGTGCGCGCGCGGCTGGAGGCGGGGGAGGGAGAGAGAGAATCCCAAGCGGACTCTGCGCTCTTCACCGAGCCGGATGCGGAGCTTCATCTCACACCCAAGATCATGACCTGGGCAGAAATAAGAGTTGGACGCTTAACCGAGTGAGCCGCCCAGGCACCCCACAAACCTAATTTCTCTGGAAGGAGGAGGTGGGATTATAAATGACTTAATGTTCTTTTTTTTTTTAAGATTTTATTTATTTATTTGAGAGAGAGAGAATGAGAGACAGAGAGCATGAGAGGGAGGAGGGTCAGAGGGAGAAGCAGACTCCTTGCCGAGCAGGGAGCCCGATGCGGGACTCGATCCTGGGACTCCAGGATCATGACCTGAGCCGAAGGCAGTTGCTTAACCAACTGAGCCACCCAGGTGCCCATGACTTAATGTTCTTTAAATATCTTTTTACTTTTTTTTTAAGAGCAAGTATAGATTTTATGGTAGGAAAAAACTTCAAAAACAATGAAACAATGAGTAACCTTGTAAAGTTTGCTAATTGTACTGTTGTACTTAAATTGCCTGAAGATCTGTGTAGCATTCACAAAAAGCCAAACCAACAAATAAAACACATAGTGATTGCAGAGCCCTATGAAAAACCTTTTTCCAAAATGGTACTGTTATAAATTATTCAAGGTCACTTGTAAAGAAACTGCTCACTGAAGCCATCCCAGCTGATAAAGAGTCATGATTGGCTATTACCATGGCCCATGATTCTGTGGGTGGCGAGTGGCCAGTAGTAAAAGTGGCACCCCAGCACCCCCACCTTTGGAACAGTTTCTCAAGGGCAGACCAGACTTGTTTCTCCCCCTCCCTGCCAAAAAGTAGAGATGTGAAACTCCTCAAACATTGAAAAAATTGAAAAAAATCTCACAAGAGAAGGCTAAAACTAGTGTAGAGAAATCTGAACGTTGATTGATACTATTTAGGACAGATGATACAGCAGCAACAGGAAAACATTTTTTACAAGTCTTTATCTTTTATTGCCTTGAAATTTCCTCCTCATTGCATATTTTGGAAGAACCAAGATTGGACCTTGCTCAAAGGCACTGATTTTGATATGAGTTCAGAAAATACCATGCATAGGCTTGTGATTTTAGTACTTCAAGTCTTTGTTTTTCCTCTTAAATGGAAGTAGTTTTGACATCAGTTTGAGAAGTTAAGAAAGCCAAGATTGAAAATATACAATTGACCCTTGAACAACACGCGTTTGACTGCAAAGGTCCACTTACACATTGTTTTTTTTTTTAATAAATATGGTACACTACTGTAAATGTATTTTCTATATGATTCTCTTAACATTTTCTTTTCCATAGCCTACTTTGTTTTAAGAATATGATATGTACTATATACGACATACAAAATATGTGTTAATCAACTGTTTATGTTATCGGTAAGGCCTCCAATCAACAGTAGGCTATAAGTTAAGTTTTTGGGGAGTCAAAAGTTTCACGCAGATTTTTGACTATGTGGGGGGCTAGCACACCAACCCTCATGTTGTTCAAGGGTCAATTGTATATGGTTTTCCAAAAACAGTATTTGTGAACTGTAGTTTATGTTTTGTGTACTTTGTTTAGCTTGCAGACAAAAGACATCAGTCTCTTTCCTTAGTCGACCAGACCTTCCAAACCTGGCTTATAAGAAGCTAAAAGGCAAAAGTCCAGGAGTTATCTTCATCCCTGGCTATATTTCTAATATGAATGGTACAAAAGCATTGGCGATTGAAGAGTTTTGCAAATCTCTAGGTCACGCCTATATAAGGTAGGAACAATGTATTTCAGAGAAAATACTACTACCATTTAGCATGGCAATGGAGAATTATTTCTACTCTAACCAATTAAAGCAAATGCCAGTGTTTTTATGGATTAACTTATTTTAATGGTCTGTAAACTTTAACCTTGTGATTTAGGGCTATCATAAATGCAACTTTTAAAAGACCTTTTTTAATGGTCTTTGTGCCACACTGACAATGCTGGCAGGAAAGGAAACTACTGGTAACTAAACTCTGGATAGAATAAGCCAACATGACAGCAAACCAATAATAGTAGTTGGCTTTCTTGTAATGTCTTATAATTATATTGTGGTTTTCCATTGGGGACTTAAAGGCTTTTATTTGGCCACTCTTTATAACTCTACTTTTAAAATATGTATTTAAGAATATTGTATATTTTTCATGTCTCTTACCTGGGATCTTTTAAGTTCTCATTTCCCATCCTCTTCCTATTGAGCCCATTCTTCCCCTTGGTTTTAAGTGTAGTCTATAACTCCTAAATTTATTTCTCTGGCTTAGTATTTTCATTGGCTTTCCATGCCCCTATAAAAAAATAAAGTATTCGAAAATTAGTATTGTATAATTCACCTTTCCACTGAGGTTTCTCTTTCCCCTCACTCCTGTAGGTGAATATGTAGAAGCATAAATAGAGAGGATATGTGTTGTTTAACCAAAAGTTGGTATCACAGTTCCTAGTATTTCATACTGATAATTATTTTAGTAAAACAGTGTGCTTACATTGTTGTTATTGGGTTTGTTTACCTGTAACAATCATTTATATAATATAATTATATATAATATACTATATATAATATAATATATATATAATTTGCCAGAAGAGATAGTATGGTTTAGTAGAAAGAACACTGGCCTGGGATTCAAGAAGTATAGGTACTAGAATCAGTTCCAGCAATAACTGTGACAAGGTGAGTCAGCTGATAAACACTGGACCTGTTTTCTTCATCATAAAAAAGGGGCAGGTTGAGCTAAAGATAGTTTCTGAATCCTTTCTATCACTAACAGCCCCAAAATGTATTCATCTAAATTGTTAGTAGTTTCACTAACATTCACTCAGTGGGTCTAGAAAATACATCTTTCAGAAATAAGATAGTAAATAAATTTTAAAAACAAAGCTTTTAGATTTTATTCAATATATTAGCCGAGATCATGTCAACTATATGGATTTAGTGTTACTCCTTTTATCATATTAACTGAGTGGTTTTATTTTCATGCTCAGAACTTTTAAAAATCTGCACTGACTTAACTGTTATTCTGAAGACTGGACTATCTTTTCCAAGTAGACTTTCTAGTACTATTGCTGGGTACTGTAAAATACGCAGCAAATTCTAAAACATGGCATTGTTCTTAAGATCAGGTTGGGGAAACACAAGATAAAATACATATGAGAAATTGAGCAAAAATACTCATCAGAATGTGATTGTGTCAAAAGAACAGTATACTTAATTGCACAAAGTGAGAGAAAACTGAGGATTGAAGTGGATAAAAAGTACTTCATAAAGGCACACTGAAGGATGGTTCAGATGTGGGTAAGAAAGAAGAGCTATACAGGAAGGAGCACTACCTGGATCAAAGCATGATAATATCAGAAAAATTGCCATCGTTCTTTTTGTCCCCAAAAGAATTTGAATCAAGAAATCGCCATTTTACTTGTTCTTGAATTTAAATTGAGACTATGAGCACTGTGACCAGTTCCTGTCTCCCTATAAGGCATGAAGTCTCTAGGTTTTCTGCATTTTGGATACATATGAAATATATTTTTTAAAGGTAAATAAACATGATTGAATTACAATGTGTACAGACCATTAAGTGGTACTGTGTTAAAACATAGCCTAAATATATTTTATAAACCTTATAGATAGAAGTATAGCCCTTCACTACAAAGTTTTAATTTGACCAAATTCCTTTTTATTTGCTTTTATCAAACTTGATTGCAATCTAATCACTATTAACTATTGATTGCATTTTAGCTTGTTATAGGAGATTTTATCTTGTATTTATACTCCAGTTCCTCAATTTATTTTTGTTGTGTTTTTGGCTGTAAGATCTTGGATCTTGAAGAAATAGTTTTGTATATTGTACAAGAAGTGGTACATAGGGCTATAGGAAAATGGTTTCTTGATGTCCTGTCACCATGCCTAACATAAGATTGAGTCAGAGCTCAGGAATGTAGCACATGGCATTAGGGCTGGTATTCTCTCATCGTTATTTGTCATAAAATATTTAATTGTAGATTTGGGGATATGTCCCAGAGTGTTGAGGCTGCTAGAACAGTGGTGTGTTGCTGTGTTCTAAAGTCCTAAACAGCTGAATATGTTTGAATTGTCTCCGTGCCTTCATTAGGGTTCAACAAGAGTGAACTGTATTTTTTACTTATACCTTTTAGTGTCACTAAATGTTTACATTTCCCTCTTTGGAGGGACTCTACATGTATTCTGCATCTGCATCATATATTTAGAAGGCAGCTTTAAAGGTGCAGCAAGTAGAGATGCCTGATTGCCCACCAGGGGAGGGAGAAGGAGGATTGGCTGGTGTCTTCCCTCTTCTCCTGGGTCTGTCTGCCATGTTCCCTGGATTGCGAGAAGTAATAACTGATGGAGACTTCAGCAGCAGCCTTGTTACACAAGTCCCATGGGTCCCAAATCATTTCACTTTACACCTGAAGAAAATGTGTATTTCTTCTTTCTCCATGACTTATAAATTCCTAAGAAAATGTTATATGCTATATATTTCATACATTCTTACTTGTACACTAAAAACACTAGGATTAGTTTTCACCAGATTTGAAGAGTAAACAAAACACGAAAGCTTCAAATTTGAATAAAGTGATTCTTTTGACTTTTATTTTCCACTTTTATTTATTTAGTATGTGTTGTGATAGTCAGTGTATGAGGCTTACATGCCTCACCTCTGTGAAGAATGCAGAGACCAACCAAGAATGGTGTTCCCTGTGAGGATCTGTCAGTCTCACAGCGATGACGAGGCACACTACACACACAAACTGTCTTACAGAGCAGGTTGTAAAAAACTGATTGTAACTGCTAAAAATGAATTCTATATAAGTTTCATGAGGTGGAGATTTTTTCTTCAGCTTTTCTGGGAAGTTTTTCCAGCAAAAAAAGGTTCATTTGGACTAAGCTTTAAGAGTATATGAGTTGTGAAGGTGAAAGGAGAAGGTACTCCAGGTGAAGAGTATAGTATGAGGCATGAAACAGGACAGAAAGCAAGAGCCAGTTGAGTAACAGCAAGTTGATCAGCTTGGCCAACGTGGCAGTTGCCTCTGATGAAATGATAAAAGGTTGATCCGAGATGACTAGAAGCTAATGGGCTATAAAAACAGGCTGACATGCTCAACGTTTATGTTGTATGTCACAGGGAACCACTGAAGTTTATGCCATGTCAATATAATGTTGCAGAAAAAAACCTGACAGATATAAAGTGGATCCGTTTGGAGAGAGACTAGTCGGAAAAACACAGGAGGCTACTGTGCTAGGCTGGTTTTGTAGCATGATACTGGTCTTACCAAATTGCAGAGAGAGATGAATGAGGAGAAATGAGAGGGAGTGAGCGAGGATGGGGGGGCAGTGTTCTGTACCCTGGAAAAAACAGATTTGAATAAAACGGTCTGCTCTTGAAGAACTGACATTGTAGTCAGACAAACATTTGAAACTTGATTACAACATAATACAAAAAGTGTTGAGTGAGTACATATAAAAGAAAGTGACTGATGGTAGTAAGCGGGGCATGTATGTCAAAGAAAGTGCCTCAAAGGAAGTGCCTTGACTTAATGAGTAGGAGTTTGGGTGGGGAAGGAAGGCTTTCCAGGCAGTGGGACCGCATACAAAGGCTCGGCATTACGAAAGGGCTTACCCAGGCACTGGGGTTTAAGGCAATCTGCAGGTGTGGTATGATACTTCATGATCTGTTGAACTGAGGCCTTGAAGGAGAGGGAGAATGTACAGATCACACAGACTTTGAGCCTGGAGAACTAGAAAGTTGGAAAGAGAAGCAGACTAACAGGATGAGCTGGTGTTCATAAATTTGATTTGCCTCTTTCTCTTTCATTAATTTAGTAAATACTAAGCATGTACCATATGCAAAGTACTGATCTAGGCACTGGGAAAGCAGTGGTGAACAAAATAGTCCGGGCCCAAATGGTGCTTCCATTCCAGTGTGGGAGACAGACCACAGTCACATTTCTTATATGTCAAGTAGCAGTATCTGCCACGAAGAAAATAAAGCAGGGTTAGGAATTCGAGAATGATGAAAGAAGTACAATTTTGGATTGAGTTGGTCACAGAAGGCATCGCTGGGGATGTAACATTGGAGCCTGAGGCCTGAATGAAGTGAGGGAGCGAGCAAAGTGGATATCTGGGGGTGTAGAGAGAGCAGCTGATGTAAAACTCCCGAGGCACAAACATGGGTGGTGTATTCCATTAACTTCAAGAAGGTGAGCGAAGATATAGTTGGGAGGGAGGCAACAGGAAGAAACGAGATCAGAGAGGTAGTCAGAGGCCGCAGGATGGTAAGGACCTTCATATTTTATTTAAAGATTATAGAAAGCTTTTGGAGGGTTTGTGCAAGACATGATTTTTGCTTTAAAAGGATCACTGACGACATGGGGAAGAGACTACGAGGATAGGAAAGGTAGGCAGGAGACAGGCAGAGACTGTCACGCTGGTCCAGGCAGAGGAGATAGTGACGTGGAGCCGCCGCTGGTGGCGGGGAAAGTGAGAGAGTTAGTGGATGAAGGCGATATTTGAAGGTTATGCCAGTAGGGTCTGCTGAAATACGTATTGACCTCAGTGTTTTATCTTAATATATTTTAAGCATTGTAATAATGATAAATGTGCTGTCTTCCTTAAAAATCAGAGAAACAAACATAGATAGATATCTAGATCCAGATTTGTTTTCCCTTTCTCTAGGTTTGATTACTCCGGAGTTGGAAATTCAGATGGCAACTTACAAGAATGCACAGTGGGAAGATGGAGAAAAGATGTTCTTTCTATAATTGATGACTTAGCTGAAGGGCCACAGGTGACTGTTTTTGTTAAATATGATTATTAACTAACCTCATGATTTTTGAGCTCTTTCTTTAGCTATGAAAATTTAGTAGTTTAAATGTTTAACCATCACTTTTGGTATTTGATTTAAAATTGTTCTATTGTTTTCACTTTCTCGTAAAATGTAAGTAAGCTTTTTACTTTTCACTGCAATCATAATTTTAATTCTACTTTGTGCCAAATATTAAAAGTCTGGGAGCTAATGGATGTAGAAGAAAAAAAGTACATACATAAATTACTCAATCCGCTTACAGAAAAGAAAATTCCTCTTTAAAACTATAAATTTTTATTTTTAGATACTCGTTGGATCTAGCCTTGGTGGATGGCTTATGTTTCATGCTGCAATCGCAAGGCCACAGAAGGTTGTTGCCCTTATTGGTGTAGCAGCAGCTGTAGATGGCCTCGTGACACAGTTCGGTCAGCTTCCTGTTGAGGTAAGTCACAAGCAACCTCAGCGTATACCTCCTGTCGTTCTCCTGCTCCCTCTGTCTTTGAATATTCGTTCATGTGTCATCTGTCCTTTGACTTCCTATGCTGGCTCATCTTTTGCCTTAGCTGCCTTTTTGTATATAATCTCTGCCTTCTTTAACTAATTGGTCTCTTGTTCAAGGTTTCCTTTTTTTCACAGCCTCTTCAAATCATTTTCCCACATATTTGAGCCACGTTAATGAAAACACACTTTAAATTTCTTTTTTTTGCGGGCGCCTGGGTGGCTCAGTTGGTTAAGCGACTGCCTTCGGCTCAGGTCATGATCCTGGAGTCCCGGGATCGAGTCCCACATCAGGCTCCCTGCTCGGCAGGGAGTCTGCTTCTCCCTCTGACCCTCCTCCCTCTCATGCTCTCTGTCTCTCATTCTCTCTCTCTCAAATAAATAAATAAAATCTTTAAAAAAAAAAAAATTTCTTTTTTTTGCAACATTTTCTTTATTAATCACATTTACTTAACTTATCATACATTGTGATCTCTTTTTGTACCTCTTATTCTTATTTTTGGCATATGGGCAATAGTACTTATTCTTTTTTTTTTAAACATTTTTTATTTTTTTAAAGATTTTTATTTATTTATTTGACAGAGAGAGAGAGAGAGCGAGAGCAGGAACACAAGCAGGGGGAGTGGGAGAGGGAGAAGCAGGCTTCCCGCGGAGCAGGGAGCCTGATGTGGGGCTCGATCCCAGGACCCTGGGATCATGACCTGAGCCGAAGGCAGACGCTTAACGACTGAGCCACCCAGGCGCTCAATAGTACTTATTCTTATGATCATGTTAGACTTGGCTCATCAATTATGAAACTTTTTTTTTTTAAGCCTGAAAGCAGGCTCAGAGCCTTTCTCAGTGGAGCTCTCCAAGTACACATTATCAGTGGATCAGAATTAGCACACAGGAGTTGAGATTTGCCATTCCTGTCTTAGACACCTAGTTGGCATTATTTTCTACTGCTAATTCTCACTTAAAAAACAAAACAAAACGTGCTTTTCATTACTAGCATGCCCTTTCAGCAAATCATGATTGAAATGAGGTTTCTGAAATGAATGAAGGTAATTTATTTGTTACACTTCATTATTGGACATATGTTTAAGCACTTCAGTTGTCTGCAGGGGTAAAGAAATCATGGGTCATAGCTGTTTATTTTGGTATATTTTGTTACTGTTTTGCAACCAGTTGAGTTCTCTGCATGTCTTTTTCCTAAGGATCTAGATGTCACCTGTGGGACTATGATCCTGGTAGGACTGAGGCACAGAAAATTTAAGAAAAACAGTTGAGTAGTGGTTCAGAAAGTGTTGTCCCAAGGCCAGCAGCGTCAACATGACCTGAGAAGTTGTTAGAAATGCATGTTTCTGAGCTTTCCCCGAGACACTGGGAGCGCAGCCCAGTGATCTGTTTTAACAAGCCCCTCCAGTGAAGTTGGAGAACCACTGCTCTAGAGAGTGGACGAGCACATGGAGGAGGAAAGGAAATAAAAAGGAGGAAAAGAGCACATGTAGTTTTGAATAGTAGAGTATGGTTGACTTTGCCTCAAGTTCGGCACGGATACATACCAGTGCCATATATTACCTGTTCTAAGCTTATTTCTCAGTCCACATTCTTCTCAGCTTCTTAAGAAATGGCATTTTCTGGGGGCGCCTGGGTGGCTCAGTCATTAAGCATCTGCCTTCGGTTCAGGTCGTGATCCCAGGGTCCTGGGATCGAGCCCCGCATCGGGCTCCCTGCTCAGCGGGAAGCCTGCTTCTCCCTCTCCCACTCCCCCTGCTTGTGTTCCCTCTCTTGCTGTGTCTCTCTCTGTCAAATAAAATCTTTAAAAAAAAAAAGAAAGAAAAGAAAGGGCATTGTCTGCATCTGCGGGTTCTATGTCATTTCCTCTGAGGGCTGAAATTACAAAGTTGGTCTTCTTTGTACTTACCTCCTATTTCTGATTTTTTGTTTGTTTGTTTTCTTAGTTGTTTTTCATACATAGTTGCTCAATGTTCTCATGCTGCTAAATTCTCCTACCATTGCATCTTTCTGCATATAAACTTTGAACCCTTTACCCCATCCTCTAACTCAATTAAATAGTGTTTCTCCTGGTAGGAAATTATTTCAAGAGCATAGCAGATTGGGAAGGAGGTGATTAAATAATTGTTCCGTTGTTGTGATGCTAAATGACAGGATCTTTGTACATTTCTTTTTTTGTGTGTCTATCCCCATCACTCACGGAGGATATGATAGATATCCCCTAAGTGACTGAGAAGATCTATAGCCTGCAAGTCAGGGCATGTCTTTGCGAATCCTAAATTAGAACAGCAAATGGTTGTTAATAGAAGAATGTTAATTTAAAAGCATATGTAAGGGAAGAGCAGGGACACTAAGACCACTGTCTTTTCACAGAAGCAACTAGCTCTAACAATGGCAAGGCAGTGAAAGTGGTGATTTTTACTATCATCTTTAGCCCGGGCATTGTTAACACTCAGCATTGCTTATTGTGTCGGAACTGACTCTAATGATGTCTCCTTCTTTGAACACTAGAGGCCATCAGACAGGATGCACAGCTGTTTGGAACACAAGCTTCTCAACCACATCGCCTTGCTGTGGTTTCTTCTAGCTGTATGACTTAGTGTAGAGTGTACATTTTCTTCGGTTAATGGTGTTTTTTGCTATTTCTGAACTTTTTGTTTTTGGGGGTTCAGTTACATATAACATTCTGTGAAGGGAAGTTTGTTCTTCAGATGGACAGTATTCATTCAATTCGATGGCAGATAACAGCTGGGTGGGGGACGGGGATACTTAAAATGCAGCTGTTCTTGATTACGTCTCAGTAATTACCACCGGTTCCACTTCATCGAATAACCAGTGAAACTAAGTTCTAATTACTGAAATTAGAAATTTAGTAATTATCCTGAGTACTTTGAGGACCACTGAATATCATTTTTGGCCTAAATATTCAGTTCCCATGTTTTAATGAAGAAAATGCCTTGATATTAATATAGATTCATATATCTTATAGTTTTTTAGAATTTCATTAATTTCAAATCACTTGAAGACATGTTTAGGAGTATAGCTTTCAGATACACAGCTTTTTCACTGAATCGGTAAATCGTTTTGCAATTTTAAAAAATACATTAAAGTGCCTAAATACATAGATTATATCATACATATTTTACTGTTTAAATTCTTGCTTTCCTTTCATATTTGCAGTAAATTAACATATTTTAAACATGGAAAAATCATAGTATCTTCACTGAATATTTATTATTTTTAAGATTTTATTTATTTATTTGAGAGAGAAAGAATGAGAGAGAGAGCATGGGGGTTGGGAGGGCCAGAGGGAGAAGCAGACTCCCTGCTGAGCAGGGAGCCCGATGCAGGACTCGATCCCAGGACTCCAGGATCATGACCTGAGCCGAAGGCCATCACTTAACCAACTGAGCCACCCAGGCGCCCCTCTTCACTGAAAGTTTAAATACAAAAATTTTCAATATATTATATTTGGTTTTTCTTTCCTTATATTTTTCCTTATTTTTGATAAGATGTCCACCTGTTTTTCTAGTCAGAAATGCCCTTAATATGATACGATTGCAAGAGCCTTAAAAATATTTACGTCTTGATATTTTAGTTAAAGTTCTGATAATATTTCCAAATAATTTATTATATACAGATAAATCTTTGTGCTCAAGATGTTCATGGAAGTACCCAGCAGTGTGGAAATAGTTAATTAGCATAGATCCGGTATAATGGACTACTGTGCAACCTTTGAAAACTTCATAGAATTTTTTTAAAACCCAGATATTATGTAGAAATACAGCAATGTAGAAAACTCTATATGAATGTGTAATAGATATCCATTTTACGTATTACATATATAAAACCAAATACATGGAGAAAAATACTGGAAGGAAATGAGCCAGAATATTAATGGTTGTTGTATCCAAGAGGTGGGATTATGTGTGATTAATTCTTTTTAATTTCTATATTTCCCATGTTTTCTGTGATGAGTATACGTTACTTTAATTAGAAAAAATTTTTAAGGGGTGTCTGGGTGGCTCAGTCGGTTAAGTGTCTGCCTTCAGCTCAGGTCATGATCCCAGGGTCCTGGGATCCCAGGATCCTGCTCAGTGGGGAGCCTGCTTCTCCCCCTCCCTCTTCCCTTCCCCTGCTGTGCTGTCTCTCTCTCTCTCTCTCTCAATAAATAAAATCTTTAAAAAAAATTGTTTAAGACAAATTATAATCTAAAAAGTAGAAATTCTTCAAGAATCAAAAGATACCAGTGTTTCATCTTAAGGGAATAAGTGTGGAAATGATTTCCTTGTTCAGTTTTCAGGAAGTATTTGGAAGACTTCATTGTCTTCCAAAACAACACATTTTTTTCTCATTCCCTAGGACTCTGGAGGGCAAAAACAGTGCTTTTTTTTGTAACATTTAACCTGAAATTCTTTTTCTTTTTTAAGATTTTATTCATGTGAGAGAGAGTGAGCAAGAGAGAGAGAGCACAAGCAGGGGGAGAGGCAGAGTGAGAGAGAGAAGCAGACTCTCCACTGAGCTGGGAGTCTGATGCGGGGCTTAATCCCAGGACCCCAGGATCATGACCTTAACCGACTGAGCCACCCAGGCACCCCTAGCCTGAAATTCTATGTTTGATTGTGCCAGAGTAACTACTGTCTTATTTTTCATTTTTAGTTCTAGGCTTGATTCTTTTCTCCCCTTATTCCATCCCTATTTTAGTAACTTCACGTATAGACACTTTCAGTTTTGTGCTTTTGAAATCTAAACAATTGTTATTCCTACGATTTGGTTTTATATATTATGAATGATTTTCTCCCCTTCGTTTTCCCTTTCATTTGGGGTGAAGCAGCACCTGATTTAAGATGTTACCTGATGAAGCTAAATCTAAGTTTGAATCCTAGCTACGAGAGTTGTTACCTTTCAGTTTTAAATGTGAAATTTAACTTCTCTAGGCTCTAATAC